TCGGGTATATCTCATTGGCACTTTCTGTCTTTGCCAGCTGCGCAACACCCACCAGCTACCCTCTTAGATTAAATTCAAATTTAGCTACATGTTGTTCTGGGACTACAATGGTGGTCTTGAAGGCGTCAAAGAAATGTGACCACACATGGTCCCGTTCCGGGACTCAATATGATTATACGGAATAGTTATTCTATTGCACATGTTATAGACAAAATATAGTGCAATTTGAAAATGTGATTAATCTGAATTGACCTGATTTAAATAAAAATAATAATTACCAAAAAAAGAGAATTTGAATAGAACACACCCTAAAATTAAAATAAAAAAAAGAGAGTACAAACACCCAATGTGAATTATTAGAGAGAAAAAAAGAGAATCACAATGAATGGGGGGTGAATGGTGTTGGGTAAGAAGGGATAGATGGGGAGGGAGGGAGGGGAGTTGGTTAGAGTAGGCTATTCCGGTTTTGGCTTTACTTACACGTGCTACCCCAGACGTCTCATGACTTCTTACTTCCTTTGGCTCTTGTAGATAAACATATATGGTATGTAAAAATAATAAAAATTGTTTTTTAAAAAAAATAAATTAAATTTGGGTTAGTACTGTACAACTTTAAATAAAAATGTAGGGTAGGTGGGTGTTGCACAATTGATAAAGTAAGCCTGCCCAAAATTCCAAAAATAATACCTGAGTTCGATTCGTGACAACAATGCTAAAAAAAACTATGCAGAGCATAGAGTCTTTATAAGTAACACGTGTAGGCTTCACTCTTTGTCACCAATGTGTGATTAAAGTTTAATTGAGCTTCTGTCATGTGAACGTCTGGCCGGTTTTGAGGGTCCTTAGGGATGAGGTTTATCATTTCCATAAAAATGTAGATATTTCTACTTTCTATTCCATCTCTCTCACAAATATACTTCTGATTTTATGATTTCTAATTTAGAATTATTTAAAATTTAGTTTATTTAAAAATTAGTACAAATTCAAAAATATAATTTATACAGTATATTCAATAAAAACATCAAAACTACAAAATAAGAGAAGAGATAAATATTTTATTACGTCAAATGATTAATTAAATTTAAAAACGATATGGTTGATTATGTGAATTATAATACAGAGTTTGAGACTTTTTTCGAGATAGGAGAAGTATCTTTTATGAATTTTGTTTTGTTTTCATTTTAGTCAAACAAAATTTAGTCTTACATCTATGATACAAGCATTTAATACTCTCTCTGTTTTATAAAAAAATATACACTTTCTCCATTGATTAATTAAAACTATGAAATTATATAATTAAAAATTTATGTAGTTAGATATTTCTACTCCAAAAAATATTAAAAAGGGAAAAATTTAATCTTAGAATGGACGAAACAACAACAACAACCCAGTTAAATCCCACAAGAGTAGGGTCTGGGGAGGTGTGTACGCACACCTTACCCCTACAAAATTTATTACTTCCCTCGTCTCGTAAAAATTTTCCAATTTTGATTTTTAGGTAATTTAAAGGAGGTGTAATTTGGTATCTAACCTTCCACAAATGTCTATAGGGTTTCTTTGTAAAAAGTAATGTTTTACATAAATGAATAGTTAAGAATAATGAAAAAGAGTAAGGCCCCGTTTGGTACGCGGAATTCAAACTATAGAATTGGAATTGAGGACTTCAATTCCAATTCAGGTATTTGGTAGTATAAAAATTATGTGGATTTGGAATTGGTAGCGCAAAAATGAATTGGAATTGATGAATTCAATTCTATGGAATTGAATCCCATAGAATTTCAATTCCAATTCAATTCCAATTCCATCAATTCCGTATAGCAAACGGACCTTAATTAAAAAAAAATAAGATGAGATGTGGGAAAGTAGGGTTAAACTTATCCACTATCTACAAATCACCTTGAAAAAAACGAGCAAATGAGTCATTCTTGAACCACCCAAATCACAAAATTCTACTCCCTCCGTCCCACTTTAAATTACAATATTCCCTCACATTTTTGTCCCAAAAAGGATTACAAAGTCAATAACTTTATAGTGATTTGACTCTTTTACCCTCCCCTTTTCTTTTCTGCCAGCCACTATTCACACTATTTGAGGGGATTTGGGGGTAATTTGGGGGAAAAAAATGATTTGACTCTTCCTTAATTTCAACTAAAAAGGAATATTGTAATCTAAAGTGGGACGGAGGGAGTATGTCAAAAAAGAGTTAAGCAAATCCTTTTTCAACAGTCGCGGGAACTTTTGTTTATTTCTACGTTTTTATTGGTTATTTGATAAAATAAAATATTCTTGACACCTCTTATTTTGAAGAATTTTTCATGTAGTTTTTTATATGTAATTTTTATTTTTTATTTCTTTACCAATATGTAAATAAAATGAATTGAAAAAACTTGTTATTTTGCCTCGGTAATAGAAATGTGACAAATAATTTGGAACGGAGGGAGTATGGAAAACGAGAGAACAAAATCTCGGGGACCTTAACACCAACCAATAGGCTTGCACCTAGCTTAGTATGAATATACTCTGTATGTTCTTTAATTCTGATCCATATACTTCGTATGAAACATAGATCATGTTCTTTCCAATTTATCTTTTATTTATTATTTATTTTTATTGAAATCAGTTGAGATTAGACCAAATCAGATCAAAAATAAATTTAAATATAATTATATTCAGATCAGAATTTATTTTAAATTGATTAGAACCAATCAGATCATGTGAAAAGAATATGACCATGGCCATGAAAATGAATGTACACTTTTTTCCGAATGCAAGTACATGTCAATGTATCATCAATTTCGATGGATATACAATTCTACTCCATCCGTCTCTTTGATTATTTTTTAATCTACTTTTTTTTAAAATCCAAGTAGGAGATTGAAATACTTAATATTTATACAAACGAAAGATGTTTTATGAATTACCCATTTTTTACTTAAAAGAAAATAAGAACTTCACTAAATTAAGTGTTTAGAAAAATAAACCACTAAATTCGAGCGAGGAGATATTAGTGTATAATTAGTTGAAATGTGGTTAGTGCCAAACCCCAACTTAAAAGAGGAATTAATAAATTAATTAATTAATTGAAAGATAATAGGCCAAAAAATGTGATGATGGAAAAGAAAGAGCTCATTATTATTGATGGGGGGAGACAATGACATGTTTTTGGAACTCTTTTTACCACAAAAAAGAGAGCACTATCCATTATGACAATTTTGACAACGTCAAAGTGCCTCCTCATATTTTCTGTCCACTAGTCATTTGATTTCCCTTATCCCACAGAAGGGGGAATCAAAACGTATCATTTGCTTGATTCTCAACTTCACCACAAAAAATGAATGAAAGAAAGAAGAAAAAGGAAAAATTTATCCACAACTTATAGGTGATGTTTGGATAAAAAGCGATTGTTGTTGTTGGCAAAGACAAAAAATATCAAGAAAATAATTCTGAATTCAATTCCTGACAATTACGCTTGGAAATAACTATGCTAAATAGGAGTACCAGGTATGGGTTCTACCCTATGCCACCATGCGATCAAAATCTAATTTACTTTCTCAGTGACTGTCCCGTCGAATCTGAAAGAACTCTCAGTGATGAGACTCATCCTTTTTTGGATAAAAAGTATTGGGCGCCAGTACATCCTTTCTTAATTTTAAGTCAGAAAAAATATATTAGTGAAATTTATCTAGAATGAAGAAAACGCAAATTTTTATGTGAATAGAAATTTTTTTATTCATACCAAAACGAATTACTTAATTATTACTTTCAAGACTATCCACAATTCAGTTTTTCCTAAAAAATGGTATTCACACACTTTTTACTTTTCTTCAAATTTTTAAAGTACGTTAGATCAATTATGATACATAGTACTTCAATTAGGAACAGGTGTATGTGTGTACACCCTCCCTTCGCCCCTTTGGGTTCTTTAGGATACAGTTATAATGTTTTACTAAAACTATTTTCTATTAAATTACTCTTGAAGCTCGAGTCATATTATGATTCGGATTCCTACGGTGCTCCGTTCGTAAATTAATTTAACGAATACTAAAAATATAAAATCCTAAATGGATGTAGGAGCAATTAAATAAATATTTACTTAATTAAGTTATAATGACACCCATTTTGGGTGTCATACTATGACACTCATCCAATTGAAGTGCTACAGTATTTCGTTCAAAAATTTAATAGTTCCTACCCTTATCCCCCGGTAAACCCCACCCCGGTCAATTTCGAACCCACACACTTCAATTGCACCCTTAAAGCATGTTGACTTTGGGGCTGCAATTGAAAGTGGTAGAGATAGGTTTGGGTCAATATATATAACCCCTCCGATGTGACAAACTCTATCTTCAAGCAATCCAAATTTACTCTCTTTCTAGACATCACCTTTGCTCACCTTCAAACTTACTTTCTATCCAAACAGGCAATTAGGGTTAATGTGGAAGGAGGAATTGGAGGTTATGGGTCCTGGAAGCCATTGAAACGGCAACAAAGCCTTGGCGGTTGACTTCTGTTACTCATTTGATAGTCAAAGGTGTTTCTCACTTGCATTTGTCGGCTCTTATAATGTGTATGTGAAATGGGAGGTCATGAGTTCCATTCCCAGTGGAACCAAACTATTCAACACTTTGACATGGGCCCCCCTGTGCGTGCGTGTGTGTGTGTGTGTGTGTGTGTGTGCCCAAGTTCACAAAGCACCCTTTGATGGTGGTCTACTGGTCTCATTATGAAATATTGTACTCAGTACTCTACTAAGGAAAGCTTAAACAATGTTGGGGTCTAGGGGTTCAAGATGGACGCCGTCTTACCCGTGTGTAAACAAAGAAGACACTGTTTACGTTAGACCCTAGATGAATTGCTGCATTTACTGTCCAAAATGTCACAGAAAGTAAGAAGCAAGAGAAGTTTGATGCACTATTTTTAATTTAGTCCGTTATATGCCCGAATGCCCTGAAACTAAAACATTGTCAATAATGACTCTTAACTTTTCCATTCAAAAAGAAGTATCATTTACCTTAGATAGCTCTTCAGTTTCAGTGTATTCCCAGCTAAATCCATTGGTCAACTGCTCTGTTTTTCAACGGTTTCAAGACCAAAAGATTCATTTCCAGGATTTCGGCAAGTACGACCTTAAAAATATGATTCTTAATGCATGGAAAACATTAGAATCAGCTCCGATGACCTAAAACAAACATGGAATAAAGGTGTTGTCGTGTAACTTTGATGTCACGGGTACGAGTCCTTGAAACTTTGTAGCAAATCAAATTTCTGAGTTTCATTGCTCTTCGTCTTCAAGAATACCTTCCAGTACCAAATACTGTAGAGCTATAGAATATTTCGCTGTTCTTGGTCCATTAGATTTCTCAACACCGAAATTGTTTCCCTTCTTAAGAAGAAATGACCCAAATCCATCCCCTGGTAGAGAAAGAATTCAATTGCACGGACCACTGAGAAAAGATTCTTTAATGGTCTATTCGGATGGACGGTTTTTGAAGGGATGACAGAGGGCATTGTTTATATCTTCATACTCCATCATATATACACTAAACCCTCCAAAGTCTTCCCTCATCCTAAACCCTCCATCAAAACAGAAACAACATAGGCTCTGGATCCTGTAGAGTAATTATACGGAAGAGTTACTCCGTGGACTGTGTAATGAGATCCAGTAGAGGAATAAGGACCGTCCATGTAGTAACTCCACTGCAATTTACTCCATGGTATACCATACCCACTAAACGCTAGCACACACCCAACGAATTAATGGAAAGTTTAAAGCATATACAACAAACAATAAGAGTAATCACCACTTAAGCCTACCTCTAATTGTGTAAATGGAGGAGACCCATCTCTTATATATGTAAAGCAGCCTTGGGGAGTCACCAGGGTGAGTATCAGAGAGAAGAAGTTGGCATGGTCCTGATTTTCTGTTTCCCATATCCAAACTTAAAACAATCAAACACGGGAATCTTAACCTGGCATCATTAACTAAATGAAGCAACTTGCTCACTTGGCAAAATCAATGGCATTTCTACACACTGCAAGAGTCCGAACCATTGCCAAGTCCTTTCCTCTCGCGTTATTGTACCTTTGTTGGCAATTTCTGAAAACATCAAATCAGATATCCAATTTGAGATTCATGGATATTAAGAGGGCCACCGCAAATAAATCCTCACTCCTGGTTTGGTTCAAAATTCAAAGCAGGGGACGAGAAATTGGAGATGGGGAGATGAGGAAAATGGAGGAAGTTTCAAAAATGTATGGTCTTATGGTGGAGTGATGAGAAAATAGTATTTCGCAATTGGGGAAGGAGAGGTGAAGAAAACGGGGGTTAAAAAATGTATGGTCGTCGGTAAACATTTAGATTAACATATTCTTAATCACAATATTTTTTTTATCTAATAGAAACGTAGAATAATTCTGTTAAAAATAAAAGGAAAGTTGGATCAAATGAGGGGAAAAAACATTCTCCCTAAAGGCTAAATCCCCCGCCTTGGGGTACCTCCTCCACTTTCCTCCCCCTTCACCTTGACTTATCCAACCACACACACACACACACACACACACACCATACCTCCACTCTCCTCCTCTCAACTCCAAACCAGTCCAGCCAAACAAGGGCTTAGACTATGTGAAGAATGTGGGAACAAGAACACCAAGAAATGACATTGAGATCGACTGTATTGCTTTGTGGCCCCATTAGTTCAAGAGTGTCAGTGTGAGCAACTGAGCATACATTTCTCATCCGGCCTATAGAGCTCTCATTTTAGAAGAATTGATTTACTAAAGTAAATAACGAAAGACAGAGAAGTTTGTTTCCAAAATGGTAAGATCAAGCTGATTGTTTTATACTCCCTCCGTACCAAAATAATCACACATTTTGTTTTACCAAAAACAATATGTTTTTCGCATTATTTCTCTATATTCTAAATATATATTTCATGCATATAGTTTCATTTTGTTAAACTTCCAGCATCGTGTTCCACCGGGCACTAGTAATACGGGGACGAGTAGTTGGAAGGATTAACCAAACAGTACCTATCATCAAAGAAATCAGCAAAATCATCTATGATGACCAAAACAGGGATTGCATCATGAACGTGAAATGCAGCGAAGTATTTTTTAATCCCTTCTTCATCAACTATATACCTACGAGAAGAGATGAGAAGATCAACCCAGAGCATTATATCATCTACTGTTGGAACATATTCTGGAAAAAAAATCAAACGAATGCTATCCTTACTTGATGTGAATCCGCTCAAAAACGGCGGAGGAAGATTCGACGCCGCGAGCGAGAAAAGGGGGTTTGGACTCCAACTTCCGGCGGCTGGAAATGAACACCACGGAGCCGCCGCCGGCCGCCATGGCGGAGTTCAATGCGTACTTGAACAGCAAAGAGGTTTTCCCTCTGCGCAATAGAAGAGTCGTGGGACAAGAGATGGAAACTCAAACTTCGTTGCAGAAGTGAATATGGAATAAAAAAGAGGAAATTGGGCGTTACGAGGAAGGAGGGCCGGTGAGGAGGACGATGGAGTCGCTGTGATTCCGGCGGCCGAAATCGGCATTTGGACTATGAAGGGGGAAGAATCCTTCCACCATCTTTGCTGCACTCCGCCGCTCACTGCTGAAGCTTCAAGATTTTTTTACCCACCAATGTCCAATTCGTCTTATTGATATTTTACCTGTCTATTGGGTTGAAATTTATCATCCCACCTCTCTTCTTCTCTGAAATTTATCTCGTGTGTTAAAATCTCTTGTGTGAAAAAATTCCTCAACTCAATGTTTTTTTTAATACATCAACCTAAGATTTTAATTAATTGGTTATGATAAATTTTGTAAAGGTTTAAATTATTTCATATTTTCAATTAGAAAGACCAATTTGACTCAAAACAAGTTAAACAACACATAAAAATTACCTCACCAAGATACTTGAAAAACATAAATGAGCATTGACTCAATATCATCCATGTTTTGTTTAAAAAGAGAGACATTTTCATTCAAGAAAAGCTAAACGCGTAATTTTAAATTTCATTAAGGTTAAAAGTTAAACCAATTGAAATTTTTCAAAACATTTTTCTTTTTTTGATACTTCTATTGTCGAATAGGTGTACTTTACTAAAATTAGATATACATTTTTCGCATTTTCTCTTTTTCTAAAAAAAAAATATGTACCTTATAACATCTCTCTTTGAAATAATACTCCATCTGTGTCATATTTGAGAATACGTTAATCACATACTCCCTCCGACCCGTTTTAAATTGCCTGTTTTGACTCTTGGGCATAATTAAGAAAAAGAAAAAATAGAGTTGATTTTCCGAAATTGCCATTATTTTTTAGGAGGGTGACGATGAATGAGAAGATAAGGTGGAGAAGAGAGATTTATTTTAGGGGTAGTTTAGGTATTTTACTCTTAAAAATTTACGAAAACAAGTAATAGGCAACTTATTTTGGCACTGAGAAAAAAGGCAAACAGACAATTTAAAATAGGACAGAAGGAATACTAATCTATTGCAAGTATAAATTCATCTAAAATCATATATCACATATGAGTTCTGTAATATGTCTTTCCCAAACATTATTTTCTATATTTTTAATCTCTTTATTCTCGATTTAGTCGTCAGTAACAAAATTGACCAAACATTAGTCGATAAAGTTCACCATCAATCGTTCAATCTCTTAATCAAACCATGACATCTTCATCAAGCTCCAACATGTATATTGATGAGTGTTTGATTAAAACACTCTCAAGTCTGAGACAAAGGGGCGATTGGAGAAACATTTTTAAAAGATCAGAAAGCATTCATAATTTTTAAAATTTAAGAAGAATCCACGTAATTTTTGAAAAGTTCAAGAGTAAGGGTGCAAAAATCTCTTTTTATAAACATCTAAATATAATTTTTTATATTTAAATATTTAGTCTAAAAATTAAAACAAAAACACAATAAAAAATCCAAGAAATGGAAATCAAACAATATCAAATGAATTAAATTGTGTACCCCAAAAATTATACTACACTTTGTACCTCAAATGTATGCACCAACATTTTGTGCTAGTGCAATGTTAGTGTGATAGTTTACCATGACAGAAAATGTCAATGCAAATTTCTATGATTAAACTGATATTTTGTGCTGGTATGAATTGTTAAAATGCTACTGCATTCTTTAGGGGTACAATTTGGAGTCTATTTCTTAGTGTACCCCTAGCATGGTTGATATCAAATACATAGTGAATCTAAAAAAATGAGTGTTGATAAACACTTTAAAGTGGCATTATACTCTAAGCACCCAAATTCTCACCCCACCTACATCATCTACACACATTGAGCAGGTACCCACAAATGTCTTTTGAGAAAGTGGGGGTGAAATGTCCCTAGGGAGTATTATTATGATGATAATAAATAAGTATCCCCTCTCAATTCATGACATAAAAAATGGGGTTATAATACACTTATGCACAACATGTGTGTGTGTGTGTGTGTGATGTTACTCCAAATTTGGTTTGAGGGGCCAAAATAATTTACTTCTTCACCGGCAATGAAATCGCTTTCCCATTGCTAAAACTGGCATCATTCTCCATCTTCATCTTCATCATCGTCCCCCTTCCAATTGATTCCTCGCTCTCAAAGAACGAGTAGTGAAGTGCCTTCACACACCTCTCTGCTTCGCTGTCGTTCACTATCAACGAAATGTTTACCTGCAGAGAAATAGATATGACAAACCGAACGCGTGTTTGGAAAGAGGGAATGCGGCGGGTGGTGTACCTTTGAAGCTCCTTGTGAGATCATCTGCACATTCACGTCATTCGTTCGGAAAACACTGAAAGCCTGCACAGAGGGGAAGAGGAAAAAGCTAAGAGATTCAAAGCACACCAACATGTTATGGGTAAGAAGTCATTTTCTTCGATTTAGGCAACAGAAAAAGAAATGGGGACTGCTAAAACTACACAGAGGGATAACCATAGTCCATAGCAATGAATGGTATAAAAAGAAATCCTCACCTTCTCCAATATCAGAGATGAATATTGGACATTTCCGATTAGGGAGATTATGGATTTGTGTGGTAAAAGATTTACAACTGCAAATTTTCCCAGCTCTTCAACTACGTGGTCAAGTTCCTGCTCCACACCAAACAATAAAGAAATTGAATAACCGCTTTGCAGGTTTAAAACCTTGTTTTTTTACAGTTGCACAACTAAAGTGTGGAGGAAATATATTTCAGTTATTTGCCTGCTGAATAAGTTCTCTGCTCCAAATTTTTGACGGGTCCAGTGTCACGGATATACTGACTTCACTCGTTGCAACAACATCAACAGAGATCCCCATTTCTTCGAATATTGAAAAAACCTAGACAGAAAATAAAAAAATGTCGCAAATTCACTATACATGTTTACAGAATCTAAATAGAATAAAAAATGAAAGTTGATGATTCACCTTTGCAAGGAAGCCAAATTGACCCAGCATTCGAGTGCTAACTATATCTAACATGGTCACATTCTGCTTCAGGACTATACTCGTTAGTAAAACCTGTGAAACAAACGCAACTCTCTTTATGGGACATGACCTTTTTTTGCTTTGCTTTGAAAAAAGAGATAAGAGTGATCAAATATTCAATGCCTGTGATATAGTGACCTGGCTCATTTCTCTACATTTAGTTATGATGGTGCCGGGAGCTCTTGGATTATAAGAATTCTTAACCCTAACAGGAATATCACCCTCCCTAGCTGGTCTCATTGATTGGGGATGAAGAACCTGCAGAAAAAAAAAGAATCATTTGTTCATGTTATGGTAGAACGAACTGACTGGAAATTCATATCCTAATGTCTAACTATGGAATCGAAAGGAAATAATGATCAGCAAAAACCCAACGTGCCTATGAATAATTTATGTCTAAAGTCTCAACAACCCACCTTTCACCTCTTTGAGGGTAATTATGTCCATGCAACATATTTCCTTCTCCCACTTTCCCACTTCGCACGGAATTTGATTTCCATTAAACCAAAACATTTCCATTCCCAAAAACCAAGCATGCCGTAGCAATAAAAGCTCATGGATGGGGTAAAACAGAAGTAAAGAGGCATAAAGAGCAATAAACATTACCTGTGCTCCAAAGTAAGCAAGCTCAGTGGCCTCCTCAAAGGTCAGATGAGGCACAGGCTTTGCGTGAGGATAAATACTCGGATCACAAGTAAGAACACCATCAACATCTTTCCAAACCTGATAGGAAGAAAACCATTGCTTAAATGTTCATTATTACTTCCCATCAAGGATAAAATAATGGCAATGCAACCCTCACTCCCTCAGTAGTGATTTGTACCTGAATCTCCCGCAATCCCAAGGCTCTTCCAAGTGTTGTTGCAGTCAAGTCACTACCACCCCTACCTAAAGTTGTAATTTCACCTGATTTACATCCCTGCATGGGAAAAAAAATGAATATGTGGCCATTCTCTAAAACTAAATTAGTGGATAGGAATTTTTCATCCCTACAAACGTAGTGCTTTTTTCGTTTTAGGTACAAGATAATCATTTTGTTGCTATTCATTCCATAGTTAGCTCAGTTTTCTTGTCTTTCTCAGTCAACCTTTATTTGAAAAAAAATGAAGGGGAAACACAAAAAACAGCACAAGTTGCAGGGATGAATTACAAATAATGAGCCCATGGGGCTAAAACAAAAAAAAAATGCTATATTTGAAAAGCACAATTCAGCCAAAAGATATGAAGTTTTTAGCACCAAAAACAGGTTGTATCCAATGAGACCTTCCCAAGGAATCCAGTAACGACAGGAATGGCATGATCTTTGGCCCAAGCTTTGCATAATATCTTAGCAACTGCAGGATAAGTAGCATCCAAGATATCTGCGCTTGTGAAGTCGTCGGTTGTAATAAATCCAATGTCAAATGCATCATACTGCAACAAATAAGAAGATTTGCCAATATAAATCATCTCGTAATATCCATTTTCAACACACAAAAAAGTTTTTTTTAATGAGCATCAACACAGCTAGTTAGTAATTTAAGTATTTAAATAGAGTGAGGTTCAATCCCATTCACTCTGTATTAAGAAATATTAGTTATATTCTTGAATCCATTTTCATATTAGTGTTATACAGTAGTGAGCTTACCATAGTCCTGAATGAAAACCAGATAACTTCAATTCTAAAGATTTATGTTCTGTTTGTTTGGATAGAGGATTTCAGAGTAAGGGTATTTTGAGGACCAAGTCTAAATATTGATATATTAAAACAACTAAAGGAATAACATAACAGATGATGATATCGCATTTCAATAACACTATATTCATTTTCAGAAGCATTCATAGCTAGAAAATCCCCTCCAGGGAACTTCCTCCAAATTGATGCTTAGGTAGAAACATACTTGCTGGGCTTTAGCCCCAATCTTGTTCAAATAAGCAGAAAATATCCGGGTTGACAACCGCTCTCCAAAAGACACTAGTTTATCTTTGGTGCGAAGAGTCAGCTCTTTCACCATAGCTACCCCGTTCAGAAGATGGTTCAATTCTTCCAAAAGTTCTATAGAAAAATTGAACACTTTAGGGCACCATACATGGAACTGAAACAAACTGAATTATGAGAAATCAACATGTTGAAGCAACAGTAAATACGAAAAAATAAATTTTGATTACATAAAAAAAACGATATGTTGTGGAATGATGTGAAAAACAAACTTTTTTTGCATGGAGATGACTATAAGCATATAATGCGTATATTAAAACTAAAAGTAGTAATTCCTTACCAGAAATTACAGAAACATCGAGTCCTAGTTCTCGAACAGTCCTGAATTACATATAAAGAATATGTTCATTCTTGTAAAATTCTAAACACAGCTAATTCTAGTGGAGTACTATAAGGTAAAGTAAATTGCAATTCCATACAAAAAAATATTATCTTAATCAAGAAGGGAAAATTAAAGAAACTATGATTTCATCACCTGAGGTGAAGTTCCTTTATCAGGGCAAGCTCTTCAATCTCTGATACATTCGACACCCCACAACTCAAAGCCTTTTCTCCCGCCTAGACATAATGGAAATTCATTATTTGATCAAACAATTAGCTCAAAGTTCACAGTAAACTAAATTTTCAAAAAATACAGATTTTTTTCACGAATCTTCACAAACTTCAAAAAGTTTGATTCATAGGGAAAAGGGCTGGCAGTACAAGAAGGTGAGAATTATACAAACAATAAATTATTGGTCGTCTTCCCCATAGCAGAGAGAACAATAACAGGGCTTTCCTCTGGGAACCCAAGAATCAACTCTGCAACCTCCCGCATCCGCTCAGCAGAAGCGACTGAAGATCCACCGAATTTCATCACGCAAGTCAGCCGCCGCCCCTCATTCTTCCCTTCTTTTTCTTCTTCTTCATCAGAAGCTTCACACTTCAAAACCGATTCTTCTCCATAGACCCAGACCTTAAACGTCCTCGGAGATCGACCCGAGATCGAGGAGGCTGAAATTCGAAATGGCAAAGCGGCGGGATTGAAGAATTTCAGGGCGTTCGCCGGAGGAAGGCGGGATGATCCGGCGGTTCTGAAGCAGAATTGGGGGCATGGCGTTCTTACCCTACAACAATGGGTTAAAGAGATCGGCATTTTCTGCTCCGAAGTGTATGGAGCCGCCGTCGAAGGATGTTGGGTGGCGGTGGCATCAGCTCATACACATTGTTGCCCTGACGACGAGTGAGGGAACGCGGCTGAAAGAGAGGAAGGCAAATGGTCCCCTGGTGGGCCGAACGCCGCTATGTTGACGGGCTTATCATTTTGAAACCCATGCCCTCATGGGCTAAATTTGAGGTTGAGTGTGGGTAACTAAGGGTCCATTTAGAGACTATGAAGAGTTGATAAATGATACTCCCTCCGTCCCAAAAAGAATGGGACGGTTTGACTTTTTGGGAAATTAAGGGAGGGATATTTTAGTATTGAATTTCCAAAAATACCCTTGATGTGATGGGTAAAAGTAGGATGTGATGGGTAGATTATTAGGAAAAAGGTATGATGTGATTGGTAGGGTATGAAAAAGTAAGGGGTAAAAGTAGTTTTTTAATAGAAATGTAACGGACTTTACGGGACGCAGTTTTTTCTAAACGTAACAAACTTTTTGGGACGGAGGGAGTACTCCGTAATAGATCATGAAAACATGGATGAACTAGAAGAATGGTAATGAAAATTATTATTTTTGTTTCAGTGTATATTTCAAATTTGACTTTTTCGTAGGGATGTAAACAAATCAAATATTTTAAATTCGATTCGCAATTCGCATTCGAATATGATGATTCGAATTCGCGTTATTCAAATACAAATTCAAATTCAAATATTATTTTTTATTCGAATATTAATCAAATACAAATACAAATAGAGATATATTCGATTCGGATGATATTCGAATATTCAAATATATGTATATACACACAAACCATGTTTTCAACATCAAAAGTCAAGCAAAGTAATATAGTATAAAGTGTATTGAAAATACTAAGAATTCAATAAATTAACGTAACACAAAAATCTAAAGCATATGATTTTTAATAGTTATATTTTATAAAATATAATTTGTGTAAGATGCAAATGTATTAATGTTTTTATACCCGGAATATAGTATAGTATAAAGAGTATCGTAAGTTAAATTACAAATTGATGTTGGTCCATCATATAAATTACATAGTATGATTATTCAAATATTCGTTTATGATTCGATAACTATTCAAATATTAATCAAATACTTATTCAAATCTTATTTTGAATTCGTCTCATATTCGGATTCGGATTCGTATTCGAAAAAATTAAACAAATACAAATTCAAATATATCGGTATTCGCTTCGATTCGGTTCGTTTACACCCCTACTTTTTCGGGACATATTGGATAAATTAGATGAATTTTGAGCTTCAATTAAATAAAAACAGTAATGTATATTTATATAAAAATAATTTATTTAGATTTATCTTGTTGAAAACTTTCAGAATATTATTTCATTATACAAATATCCAAAACAAATTAAGATTAATTGATGTTTTAAGTTCGTACAATTTGACGTAGAAAATCAAACTGAACAAACACATTCTGACATGAAGGTAGTACGGAGTATTAACCATTGTAAAAACAATGGGGGTGGGTGTGGATCATATAGATAGAGTATTATATTGGACTTGGTAATTCCGTATGCATACTTTTTTAATTTATAAATTATAAAAGGACTAAAGCAAGAGTGGCTCAGCTAACCTATAGATTATACAACTGGAGTTGATTTTATTTATTGTTTTTTATTATTATTTTCGTACAATTTATATATACCATCAAATGAAGCTTCAATCCATTCTCGATTGCCATCTACGTTTACATACATCTCCGTTTTGGCTAGGACTCCTCTGCATTTCCGACCACCGCACCGGAAACCACCGCGTCACCGCCATTGAACACCATGAGTTATGAGCCAGTTTCTTATGAGACATCAGGCAAGTAAATAAAAATTATCGATAATGCAGAGTTATGTTGTACTATGGAGTATTATATGTTACTCCCTCCGTCCCGGAGTATTCGTCCAATTTTGACTTTTGAAACTGTTTATCTAAGCACTTTGACTCATCAAATTCTCTCAATGTGTAAGCTTAAATATAGTCATGTGTGATCTTGTCTGATTTGTCTTAATATATAAATTATTAATATATAATTTCTATAATTTTTTAATATATAAATTACAAGATAAAATGGATTAAAGAAGTGCATTGGATGATGTGTAAAAATGAAAGTGGACAAATACTCTGGAACGGAGGTAGTATAACATATGGAATACTCCCTCTGTCCCTAAATAGATTACAATTTTTTTTCTCTCTCCTCTCGATAACTTTTGTTTGTTTACGTGATTTCGTTAAGTATTTGATAAAATAAAATATTCTTGTCACCTCTTGTTTTGTAGAACTTTTGACGTAGTTTTTTAATATCTAATTATTATATATTATTGATATACCAATTTGTAAATAAAATGATTTCAAAAAAGTAGAAAATTTTATTCCGTAACTCGCAATTTGTAATCAAATTGGGGACGGAGGGAGTATAAGTTTTGTACATATGGAATATAAGTTTTGGAGAAATGCTAGCTAGACACAAAGTTTTGTTGTCTTATGTAAACAATTAAAGGTGTTTTTTATTATATATAAGTTGATTAAAATTGTTTATAAGTTATTTTTAATTTATGCTAAGCAAGTCGGTTAATAATGTGTTTCTATGTGTTTATAAGCAGACTTTTAAACTACTTATAAATGAAATAATTGGTCTTACCTATTTACTTTTAAACTTTTTTTTCATTTTTCTAATTTGACTAAATCTTTTACAAAGCTATCTCTAACCCTTTTATAAATATTTTCAAGTGACTCGTCTACTTTTCAATTTTAAAAAGAATTCAATAAACAGATTATAAATTAAAAATTACTCCCTCCGTCCCCAAAAACATGGGAGGTTAGGGATTTGAGGAGAGTATAATTTGATATTAAACTTCTAAAAATGTCCTTTAATAATTGATGTTATGGTTAAAAGTAGAATTTGAATAGTAAGTTAATTGTGAATAAATGTAATGTGATATGAAGGTTAAGATTAGCAGAGATAAAAGTGACTTTTTAATAGAATTGTACTCCGTAAAAAATTTTTTGGGACAGATGAAAAAAAAAGAAAGATTTCCAAAGACGGAAAGGTTACTTAACGGTAAAAAGTCAATAACTATCCACATAAAGAAAAACCTCATAAATTCACAGTTTAACTTCAAAAATATAAAAACAAATGTGAAAATAACTTTGATATTTTAATAATTTGTCCTTGAAACTACATTGAAAAATGATTTGAGTTAGAATAAGAAATTTTATGTAATGTAGGTTTGACTTTCTCTTATTCTTGTTTTGTAAATCAACAGACTATGAATCGCCGCCGCCACCGTTCCAACACGCCCACCACTCACACCAGTATGCGGGAGAGCCGGCGCCGCCAGAGTACGACGAAGGTTATCAGGGATACTATGATCATCCGTCGCCGCCGCTTCCGCCGTCGTTTCCGCCTCTTGAAGATCTCCCTGAACATCATGAACACTACCGCGACGGTTGCTGCTCTTGTTTGAAGCCCTGGTACGTACGTCTCGTTTGAACATCATGAACACTACCGCCTCGTTTTATTCCTTGTTTGAATGGAATAAAAAAGTTCAAATCTGAGAAATGACCTTATGTTTTAGTCCTATTCAGTATAAATTTTTACAAATTTCTAGTGATAAAAAGAGTAACGACATAATTATTGCAAGTAACTAAGTACTCCCTCTCTAACTTTAATTCCTTTTATTTGACATTTTATGGCCAACATTGTTTGATTTTAATTGCAAATTAAGGAAAAATACAATGAATTGTTTAAGATCAATTCATACTTTTGAAATAGGAAAAATCTTATAAATAAATATGGCCTATGTATAAATGAAAAATATTAATGGTCAAAATGTTACATACACTCAAAACATAAAAAAATCAAATTAAGAAAAAGTGAATTCAATGAGTGATTAAGGCATTTAAAATTCCTTACGATATGATAGCTAATGTAATTATTTCTACCAAAAAGTTGGACATTCACTCTCTATGTTTAAATATACTCCCTCCTTTCATAAAAATACATCTATATTAGCTTTGGACAAAAATAAAGAAAGGATTTTTTGAATTAACTTTTAAATTTTGCCTTAATGTGTGATTGATAAAAGTAAGATATGATCGGTAGATTATTAATGAAAAAAGTATAGTGTGATAGATAGCGTAAGAGTAAGTAGAGGTAAAAATAGTTTTTAAATAAAGAGGAATTCACCTAAATAGTACTAAAACATAATGAAATTCCCTAAATAGCATTATATGTGTTTTTTCATAATGTAGCACTTTTAGTCATTATCCATTAGTCATTATTCAAGTAATTAATTGTTCGCCATCACCGGTCATTAGTTGTCATTCTGGACATTATTAAGTATTATTTAGAGAATAAAACAATTTAAGTATTAATTATAGAAATGACTTAAGTTTTAATGCTATTTAGTGCAAATATTTCTTAAATAAAATATCAAAGTATTCTGGTGAGAGAAAAATGATAGATGAATGATTTCTTGAACGGTGGGAGTATTGAAAAGCATGTTAATAGTAGTAAAGTTAATAATATTAAAATAAAACTAAAATACTTTAGGTATATCAATATCAAAATAGGAATTTCAATATTTTTATATCAAAATAAGATTTACACCACCAAATAATACTACAAAATGAAGTAAATATGATATGACCAAATCACACTCCCATTTAGGAAATAAAAATATAAAAGATCTTATTTTAGTTTAAATTTTATGTTTAGTTTTAATTAAGTAATTTTTTTAATTTATGGCGTAACTACAAATTTATTCAACAGGTTTGGGGGTGCTATTTAAGAGGGTGAGGTAAGTTTTGCTTAGGGCTGTCAATAGATTACCGAAAATCTGATTACCGTCTGCATCCGTATCCGTTTAAACAGGAATAATCAGCATCCGTTTTAAACGGATATTATCTGTATCCGCTTAAAGACATCTGATTACTAAACGGATAGGGATTTGGTAATTGTATATCCGATCCAAATATACATCCGTTTAGATAATCATTTATTCGAATATCCGTTTATCCGAATGCCGAATTAGTTATTTTAATATTTATAATAATTTATCCAGCCTATTATACATTATTGATACTTGGTTTATCGAGGATTAGAAAGAATAAGAACTCTCAATTTTAAGAATTGGATTAATTAATGGAGAAAACTAATGTCATCAGATAGTAGTCTATATTGTACTTAATAATGAGAATGTGTATGTTCAAAAAAATATGTCATGGATATTATTACTACCTTAGTGTGTATGTGTATATATGTATGGATTATTATTGAGGTGCTTGCATGTTGAGAAAAAGAGAGAGAATTGATATAAAAAAAGATCAATGAAAAACTAGGTTGATGTAGTAATTAAACAATCCTATATCATATCCTATATATCATATCCTATCCTTTATATCCTATATATCCTATCCTTCATATATATATATATATATATATATATATATATATATATCCTTTATATATATAAATGAGACTCGGAGCTCTGAGAACATAACATTTGGCATATTCAAAGCTTGACATGTGGCGCATTAGGAACTTGACATGTGGCATTTTACTCTCTTTCATTATTTCACATTTTTACTCTTTTCAAATTTGATATGGAGTAATAACTTATTTTGAAACCATGAATTCAAATTTAGAATTAAAATTATTGTCCGTGTAAATTATTACTTTTAATAAAATATCATTTTTTTCAGGACTCTACGTACAAATATTTTTAATACCTGTCTCGAATTTGTTAAGTCGTAAAATTTTCAAAAAAAATTTATACTAATATATAAAATACACTCATTACCCATAAATAAATTTTATATTTATTCATTATACATTAACATGATATTCCTTTGATTGTATTTATTTAAATATTGACTCCTGTTAAATAAAATACTTTCTTTACCTATAAATAAATTTTATATTTTTATGACACTTAATGTATCACTTAATTTAAGATATAGAAAATGTGAATTCCATTTTTTTGGTATAAAATCTTTGAATTAGTTTAATTTTTAAAGAGAAACATTCATTTTTATGAAAATACTCTTTCTAATGCATTAAAATATTTTTACTCGCTTCATTTAGATAAAAAAATTGATTAATAAATAAGATGATTTTTTCACATTTAAATAATTTTCATACAAGTATTAGTTTATAATATTTTAAAATGAAATTAGTTTTGATTCTATTTATTTCAATAACAATGTAAAATTAAAAACAAACAATACATTTCAATAACTAGATAAAAAAAATTTAAAAATCAATACATGACTGGACTAAAATTTTTTTAGAATAATAAACAAAATATTCTCTTCATAAATAAATAATATACGAAGTATTATAAATTTGTTTATGATACCTCTAAATGAAGTTAGTTTGAGTATATTTATTTAAATATTGACACCTACTAAATAAATACTTTCTTCGCCTATTATGATCTTTCTTATTTTTTAACACATAATATACCACCTAATTTGAAACATACAAAATGTAAAATCAACATTTTGGTAAAATATGATTCTAAAGTCCACGAGTGAAATGTGAACCTTCTTACATTTTTCATGGACCGGCAAATGAATATTTGTTAAAAAAAGATCCAATTTTTTTATGATATTATTACCCCAAGGCTTATAAAATGAGCATGGACCGTAGGACTGCGGAAAATTTTGCTTTAAAATAAAACTTTCAATCCCCCCACCAAAAAAAACTTACAATTAATAAATAAGATATACTGTATTTTTTACCTCTAAATCAATGTCATGCGGGTATTTGTTTATGATATGTTGTAACTAAGTTAGTTTGGATTCTATTTATTGCAATATATATTTATGTAAAATTAAAACATATAAAATATTTTAAAAATAACTAAACTAATTATAAAACAAGCGGTGAATGGGCTATAATTGTGTTAAAATAAAAAAATACTATACGTAATTTCATAGCTTGAATATATTGATTTTTATGGTTTGATTTTAGTACTAGACAATTTAAAGGAGTATTTGAATTCTGATTCTTCATGCGAAGGAAATGGAGATGTAGGTGTTGATGGCGATTGAATAACAATTGAGTTTTAAATAAAAACAAATATTCAAGAATCTCAAGCCATAAAATAGTTTTGAAAAAAAGGGCCACTAATTATATATGCTATTGAGAAACATTGACTGAATATCTGAATTGCGTGATGAGATCAGACTAATCGTTAAGGAGCTACGAAATAATGTTTTCGGTGCAATTGTGGTTTCGAAAAAACGAGTCGAGAAAAAGGTTTACATAACTAGAATGAATTTCGTACAATCTGATCCACGATTAGTCTTAAAGTTTTAGAAAAGACAATTCTCAATATTTTCTGTTTTGCTACGACTTTTAACAAAGTCAAAGTCAAACATTATCATTTGTTGGATTATTTTAAATCAATTTGGTGTTCACTTATGATCAACTCCACGATGCTGTTTCACGAGTAAAAAGAAAGGAAGAATTAAGAATATTAATTCTAGATGATAACGAAAATCCTTGCAACTACACCAAAATTGTTGTATACCCAAAAGTCTTTCAAAAATATAGATTTAGAAAATCTTTGAGATGTTCACTTTTGAATTTGTATATAAGAATTTTCATTACCAAATATTTAATACTAAATTATTTATTTTATTTTGTTTTTAATGTCTATAGTAATAAAAAAACATATTATATATATTTTCATAAATTCAATTTAAAATATTGCATTGAAATTAATTTACAGAAGTGTCAAAAAATTCATCCAAACCCGTGCGTTGCACGGGTTAAAATACTAGTATATATGTAAAGGAGAGTTAATTAGTTGTAGTGGAGACACGTGGCGTATGACATGGCCAAATTTGTATCTACATGGCATAGTGTCATCTTTTTTTGGTCTTCATGGTATTTATTAGTTTATTTTTTATTTAAAAGATTGTTCATGATTATTTCTTTTAATTACCATAAACTTGTATTTATAACACTTTTCATATTCTAATTATTATATTAATATGTCCTTCATCATTTTAAAAATATATTTTAATATCTTATAATTAATTAATTACTTTTTTAAAGGTTATATAAACTTTATTAAATTTTTTAAAAAGACAACTGTTTATATAAATTTTTGCACCATTTTCCCATGATAAGTGTAATAAATATGAAAGTTTAGATTATAAAGAGAAAGATTTCAGTGTATAAAAAGTTGTCTAAAATTCGTATTAAAAATTCGAACTTTTCCTTTAAGATTTTAAATAAATTTTTCTATCAAAATTATAAATTTGATTAGTGAAGTGTAAAATGATAAGAGTCATAGAAGAAATTAATAAACACATCCTCCCCACGTATACCATGATATTTCCAAAAATGAAATGTCTATGTAAGTTATTCAAAAATAATTAATGTATTATCCTTCATAATATGTACAATTTAATATTTATGTATTCTATCAATAGGCAAGGCGATAAAACAACTTTAATTGCAATTCACTTTTTTATTTAATCTAGGTTTATATTTTAATATAATAAAAATTTTATAGATATATTTTATAGAAAAATATGCGAGCCCGTGCGAAGTACGAGGTAAAAACTAGTGTATATGTATGGATTATTGAGGTGCTTGCATGTGTTCATGCAGCTTTCGCATTCTGTTTTGCTGCTGGATATTCGACTGTTGCTGTTGCTGCTAGATGGGCTGGCCGGAGCGAGGCTGCCGCGCGCCCCGCCACCACCTCCACCTTTCCATCCCGGCCGCCCTCCTCCAAATACGCACTAATAATTATCTTAATATACATTGATGTAACAAAAATTAATTATATTATATATACTCTCTTTCTCTTATACGGAGTGATATGTTTTTTTAATGCGAGTAATATATAGAGAGTATGTTTATTTTCTTACTTTGATTTGACCATAAATTTTATTTTTTTGAACACTAAGAACTCTATTATAATTTAGCATCAGTTCATACATTCTCATTTAATAAAGCACGTAGAATTCATACCGCCTATACTGGGGATCAAACATGCGACCTGTCATATGGGAGAGCTATAGTGACGTCATTGAACTACAAGATTCTTAGCATAAAATTTATTTAATACTCAAAAGTTTGAATTTTATATTACGGGTATATTTTTGTTAATAGTTAATAAACGAATAATGTAAAAAAAGTGAAAATGTAAATAATAATAATAATGAGTAAATAAGGAGAGTACGTGAAGGAATGTGGTGATAGATTATGATAGGTTAAGAATGATAATAAATTGAGTATAAAGTACTAAGTATAAGACTTTTGTAAGTATAAGTTGGTTGGTTTCACTCTTTGTCGTCAATTTACAATCGAAATTCAAATTATCTCTCTAAGTAATCGTCCGGCCGTATGTAAGGGCCCTTGAGGATGTGACACGTTCTTCTTCTCTTTTTTTGGACAATAGATAGGTTAATAATTGGTAGTGAGTTTAGGGCCACAAAAATATTGCAAAAAAAAGTTAATTTGATGTTATGTGTTTACAAAATAAGGAAGGTGATAAAATTTAGGATGAGTATGGACAACTAGATTGGGCAATAAGACACTTGAGCTTAACCACATTAAAAATTGAATACAGTCGATTAGTTAGTTCAATTTAAGAGCTTATATACCGATTACTTTGCTCTGGTACTTCTGATGTGAGATGACACTCTAACAGAAAGTGAAATAAAGATATGCTGGAAAAGCAAAACCATAAATAAAAAGAAAAATATGAATCACTTTGGAGAGAGAGAGAGTGTGTGTGTCTATATATATATATATATATATATATATATATATATATATATATATATATATATATATATATATATATATATATATATATGGGCCAGTTCCTATGAGAATGGACCTTGGTGAAAGAAATGAGAATAAAGTAAAATCGCACGATCTGATCCATCGGACGGCTGGTTTTTATTTACAAGATGGAAGTACTGATTTCGGTAAATAAGGTTAGTAATAAATGCAATGGGACAATTTAGGAGAATAATAGTTTGAAGGGCGAATTCGTCTTTACTCACTTAGCATAAAAATGCAAAGTCCAGATACGCATGCCTTGTTTTTTATTGCTTACCAAATATGAAATTAATTTTGTTTAGTTACTCCGTAACTAGTGGAAATTGATTAAATTTTCCTCATATGATACTTTTTTATCTATCCAATATATAGCTGCAATACATTTTTTAAATTGTGCAAACACTGTGATGGCAGATATATAATTTTTTATTAGTGAATAATGACTCTTGTGTGACTTTATATGTGATGAAAGTTTGAGAATGTGTTATATTAAAAGTAAGTATACTAAAAAAATTAAGAAATAAGTTGAATATGCGGGATTCGACCCACATTTGTGGTTCGTATCGCTATATCATTTGAGTTAAGAGGCAACTTTTTTCAAAAGGCTCTCCTCTAGCACTTGGACCTATTAAAAATGCATTTTAAGCTTTTAAAATCTGCATCATTTGACATTTTTCGAACTCATTCTATACGCACCATCGTTTGCATAAAAACTATTGTCTAATATATACAGGTGAACCATATTTGCAAGGAAAATTTCACCCTGAGATGCACTAACTTTGATTATGAGAATGCACAGTAATAAAATGCATAATTTTTTACCTTGATTATGAGAATGCATTCCTTTTTCATGAAAATGCATTATCGTGATTCTAATGATGCACAATGTATGAGAAAAATGCAAACAAAAAGTAAAAACAATGAAAGAAAATAAACGCGGCAATTACACCCCTAATGAATACGAAATTGTCCAGGAACATCATCACTCATCATACAAATTTGAAAATATAGTTTGCCTATGCAGGATTCGAACCCGCATCCGTAGTGTATATATACCGCTCTACCATTTGAGCTAATAGGCAATATTTTTCAAAGACACTCTTCTTTACCACTTTGACCTATTAAAAGATGCATTATAATCTTTTAAGATTTGCATCATTCAATGTTTTACCCATATTCAGATATATCACAAAACATTTTATATGCATCATCGTTTGGAACACTACAAAAAAACGCGGAATTGGCACGGCTTTTTGGCACGGACTATAGTTTAAGTTTCCCGTGACTAAGGTATTAGGCACGGATTTTGGCACGGACACGAAACGCTGCCAATTTCGAAGCTCCAAACCGCATGGCACGGAAATCCAGTCCGTGCCAAATATAGAGACGGCGTCACTCGTGACAAAATCATTCCAAACTGACGGTTGTAAGAAAAACGTTAAAGATATTAGGCACGGATATGTCCGTGTCAAAATTGTGTTCTTACAAATATAACATAAGTCACGGATATATCCGTGCCTTTATTTTGAAAATTTTCAAAATATTCAAAAATTTTCAAAAAATTCAAATACGCGGGGAGATTAAATTCCGAAATTCAAATATTTTGCCACAGACATATCCGTGCCATAGATTTTAAAAAATCAAAAAAAAAAATATTTTTGTCACGGATTTATCCGTGCCTTAGATTTCAAAAAATTAAAAAAAACAAATTTTGAAAATAAAAAATTAATAATACATAACAGGCCATAATTCAAATACGGAATAAATCACTCACAACATAATAATGTAGATTAATAAAAGAAATATCCATAATGAAAGTAATGTCTAGCATCCAAACGAAGATCATCACAGACAAATGTTAATGATGAATAATTACAAATTTTCATTGTTTAGAAAATTGTTAACACCACAGTTATTTGAATTGTGTCCTTCCGGTTGAACGTTTGGCATTTGGGGGAGGACCGTAAGTTGTTGAAAAACAGGCATGGGAGAAGGCAAAACCCGCAAGAATTAAAGGTGCTCCTCATGACTTTGTCTGTGTCTGCCGGCAAAACCCCGGGCAACCATGTGTAACGAAGCTATAAATGTAATAAAAAATAAATTAGTATTGTGTTTAGGACAAATGTTGGCTGGAAAAAAAATAAAAAAAAATTAAAAAATCATACACATAATATATGAGATAATAAAAAACAAAAAAATTACCCCTTCAATTCGGTCTTAGTGATCAAGCGCAGAAGATCCCCGTACGCCACCGCACTAGCCTCCGTTGAAACTCCGTCTCCTCCTTCGCCGCCTCCTCCGCCCTCGACCTCGACCTCGGCCTCCAAGTCGCCACCGACATTGAATATAGACTGCGGGGTAGTGGTAGATGGCGATTCCAGTGGTGCTCGAGAGTGAGAACGCTGAAAGCTTCCCCTACCGCGAATGCTACCGCAGAAGAAAGTGCTCCTTGCTGAAGACATTGAAAGGAGAAGGGGTTATGAGGGAGGAGAGCGGAGGAGGGAGGAGGGCGGAGGAGGGATGGCGGCGAAGAAAAAGATAGGAGGAGGAGAGTGGTTAATGAAAAAACGAGAAAAAACATGTAAGGGGTGGTAATATAATTAAACCGTAGGCACGGACGTAAGCACGTCCCCAACTGTGCCTATACCGTGGAGTAAATATCGGATGCTTGGGTAATGGTGTAGGCACGGCCGCTGTCGTGCCAAATTTCAATATCTCTGCTTGTGTCAGGCTTTTTGTGTGAGATCCATTCTAGGCACAGCTTTTTCCGTGCCTAATAGAGGGCATTAAACACGACAGTTTTTGGTAACTGCATAGGCACGACCTTGTCCGTGCCAAACAAAATGAACTCTTCATTTGTAGGGGTGCATTAATAGCATGTCATAAAACGAATTTATTGGGCTTGTATGTAGGCACGGCGGTTTCCGTTCCAAACTAAATGCCTCAGGCTTTTGTCTAGGATCGAAATTAGGCACGGCTATTTCCATGACAAAACAGTCTTGTCCTTTTCTATTTTGAATTTTATGAGAAAGGTAGGGAATTGGAACAACTAAATCCGTGCCTATTGGTTAGAATAAACGCCGTCCGACAACACCGTTAACGTCTTAACGTTTACGCTATTAGCACGACATTTGGCACGGAAAAATGCTAAGCCAAATTGAAACACAAATAGAAACACGCCATGTGGCTACTTTCTTTTTTTCGGCGTAGTCACGGAATGTCCGTGCCTAATATTCCGTGCCAATTCCGGGAGTTTTTTGTAGTGGAAAAAATTCACTATCTAAAATAAAAAAGTCCATAATATTTGTGTAAGGATAAATTCATACAATCATACTCAGATGCATTAACTTTGACTATGAGAATGCTTACTAACAAAAATTCATTATTTTTTACCGTGATTATGAGAATGCATTTTCTTCTCATGTACATGCATTACCATGACTCTCATAATGCATAAGATATCATAAAAATGCAAACAAAAAACCAGACCCCATTACCATGACTCTCATAATGCATTAGCATTTTTTATTAAACACCAGACCCAATTAACTTGTTTTTTTCCTTTTAATTAAAGAATAACAGATTATATGAGATATAAATTACCAAATGCAAATTACGTTAACAACTTGCTCCTCTTCGAAAATTGTTAGAAATTAACACTAACAAATTGCTCTGCATTCCATCTTTGGATGCAAGTGTATGAATTTCTCATTTACAGGAATTAAACCTCCATCCCAAAATAGTGACAACAGAGGAAATTAGTCGAGCAAATTGCTGAATCAGACAAAAATTATTTGAAAAATTGATTTATTTGATTAAATTAAATATTTTAAGACTGGATAGAGGCAAAGAAGTTTTGATGAAAGAATAATACATGTAGTCGTGTAGGTGTGGAAGGCGAACGCTGGAAGGTAAGTATTCGGAAGCACCAAAATCTTTCGATTGCCGACACCAGGGCATCCATGTCCCCGCCGCCATTCAAAACTACCGGTAGCTTATTTATGCGGAACGACGCAGTTTTTTACCGCACCACCTACTCAGTGATCTCCTTCGAACACATTTTAGGGAACAAGCAGTGGAGAATGATGCGCAAACAGAAAGTATAATGCAAAATTAAAATCAAGGATTTCATATCTAAAATCTAAAAGGAAATGTAATTTTTGATTTAAGAATTGTGTAATAAGAAACCCAAATGGAGAGAGAGAGGTGATCGGGCTGATTTTGACTTTTGAGGAGTGTAGATGGAAACATATAAGAAAATACATATGTACCCTTATGTTATGCGGTTGTGAAGGCCTCCATCTAACGTCTCAGAATCATTCTTATTTCTTTCATAAGATCTCATTCTCATTAGAACCAAAATATATATAGGGGCCGGTTCCCGTGAGAATGCACCTTGTGGAGAGAAATGAGAATAAAATCTAGCCGTCGGATCTGATGCATCGTGCGGCTCAGATTGCATCCTGCGCTCAGATTTTGAGATAGTGCATTTTCGAAGGTTTATGATGCATTTCAACGTGATGCATTTTCGCACCATTTTGGTGCATCTAATTTTGATGAAAGCTTGACCTTTAGATCTCACAATCTAAAGCACCAGATTCATTCTCATTTCTCTCCTAAGATTGCATTCTCACCAGAACCAAAATCTATATATATATATATATATATATATATATATATATATGATCAAGTGAGAATGCGATTTAATGAAAGAAATAAGAATGTATCTCGTACATTAGATGTAACATCTAAGCGCTTGAAAAATTCAAAAAAAAATAAAAAAACAAGAAAAAATGTGGTGTCATTATGGTAAATAAGTTGATCTTTACTACCAGTACCAAAAAGGCACTACCACAATGTAAAAATGTATCGTGATGGCTAATAAATGCACCATGCTCACAATAAGGTCTATCATCGAGGTAAAGACCATTCTCACGTGAACCAATCCTTATATCATCCAGTTCAAAATCACCTAATCAGCTCGTTATAATTCTAATCATAAAACTAATTAATACTAATATTAAGGAATCCATATCATCCCGTTCATACAATTAAAATATACCTGGAGACTACGAAAGTATTTGACATCTTTGGTTTAGTTTTCTCCAAATAAAAATTTGGTTGATGGTTTTCGTAAAAGGATTATTTACCTATATAGGACTAAAACATAATGACTTTTTCAATATGGGACCATATGTTTTTATTTTTCAATGTAGGACCATTGGTCATTACCTATTAGCTAGTCATTATTCAAGTAAATGTCCCGCATCACTTGGACATTATTCTTCTCACGAGTCATTATTAAGTCATATTTAGAAAATAAAAAAGTTTAAATCATACATTAGGAAATGACTTATGTTTTAGTCCTATCCAGTGCAAATTTCACTTTTGTAAAAATGGAGAAAAGGAAAAAGAAGGATTATCAACTTTGTCAATTTAAATTAGTCCCAAATCTACATGTTTGTTAATTATTCCCAAATTCTAAAGGTTCGTTGTTGATTTTAAAGGTAGAGATGTGAATCATCGAATCATAGGGATGGGAGGGGTGGAAGGAAATACGTAGTAAAAGAAAAAATATATTTGTATCTCATTTTTGTACCCCTATGATTTTTTTGATACAAAATGTAAGTGTAATACTGGTATTATGTCAGTGTTATACTTACATTTTATGTCAGGATAAACATTTACACTATATTTGGTTTAAGTAATTTGAAACAAAAGAAAAGAAAATAGTTTTTCTTTACTTTTCTCACCAAAATGTAAGAAATTCGGATTTTCCGTCTCTTATTATATTTTGTCTTCTTATTTTTTTACTTCTATTTTTCTTTCTGTTTGCTATCTAACCAAACAAGAACGTTTTCTTTTTCAATTTCTTTTTTTTCTCTCAAATTCCTTGAACCAAACATAATGTACAGGTGAAAGCAGCACATCTCAAAAAAATCAAATTAATTACACTAATAAGGACACGAGAAATACTAGATTCACAAACAAAATGGTCACAAAATTCACAAACTTGCTATTTTTGAATTTCAATAAAAAAATTAAAGAGTTTAAAATAATTTTAAAATAAGAATTTAAATTATAAATGATACTTCGTAAATTGTAATGTTTGTGACATTCTGTTTGTGAACACAGAGCATTGCTCTAAGGACACCAACGTTGGGACGGAAATCACGGGAGAGTACTGTTACTCCGTATTTGAATTCATCATTAAGCATTTGCCTTGACGTGTCCCACCGAGTGGGGCCAACCAGATTAATTTCAAATGTGACACATATTAGTATGGTACCACTCTCGAGTCTCGACACTTGACAGTTCATCATTGTCCTCCCATCTTCATTATTGTCCTCTCATCTTCACAAACGGATAACCTATTGATTCGAAAAATTAATAAAATCTGACAATGGTACTAAATACTCCAAAATTAGTCTCCAAAATTAATTAATACTCCCTCCATCCCTCTATATTTATCTACTTTTGACTTTTGGAACTGTTCATCTAACCACTTTGACTCATCAAATTTTTTCAATGTGTAAGCCTAAATATAGTCATGTGTGATCTTGTTTGATTTTTCTTAACATATAGATTATTAATATATAATTTCTATAATTTTTTAATATACAAATTACAAGATAAAATGGATTAAAGAAGTGTATTGAATGGTGTGCAAAAATGAAAGTGGAAAAATATTCTGGGACGGAGCTAGTACTCTATATGATACTTGTTAATTTAGAACAATGTTCAATTCAGTTCATCTGACTAACGATCGTTAAAAAGTATTAAAAGTTAAAACGATGTTAATTATGTAGGATGACAATATACTTCTGCCGTGCTAAAGCGTTCTTCCCGTTTCTATTTATGTAGTTTGACCGATTTTATTTTCAATTTAATTTATTTATTTGATTGTAGGTGTAAAATTAAACAATAAAATTTAAACATTTTAAAACTACATCAAAAATTTTACAAAACAAAATGTGACAAGACTATATTATTTTATCAATCAATTAACGAAAATAGATAAAAAAGTGATTAAAGTTTGAAAAAAATATGAATTCTTTCTCTATATTTTACTCCTATTTATGATGATTTATTTAACATTTTATTTACATGATATTCTTCCAAATAGCTGTAAATAATCTAAAATGTTTTGTTTCAAATTTATAAAATTATATTTTTAGTTTTTAGTATTATATTGTCATCCTATAAAATTTAAAGTATTTTTCCATAACTAATGTATTTTTATTTCGAAAATAGACTAATTTGATAAACACCGAGTTAGAAAATATATACCACTTAGAGAAGGTAATATAAGATATAACGTCGTTTTAATGTGATTTTAACGATTGTTAACCGAATGGACTAAATAGAGCATTATTCTCAATAAACGAGTATCATCTCGGAAATAAATTAATTACTTAATTTTGAGGACTAATTTGGAAAAGCATATAGTTATTGAGTATCATTTTGGTAATTACTCTTCGAAAAAATCAAGAAACCCAAATTGAAAATTTTCAAACTGACACAATTCCGCTAAAATGTCAAATTATGCCGTACCGAATGTTTGGTTCGGTATTGAGAACGGTACGAAGTAACTTCTCATATTGAAAATCCCAAACCGGATATACTCTGTATATAGTAATATATTCTCTCTGTCTATTAATTTCTTTCTCATTTTTCTTTTTGGGCCGTCCAATTTTTTTTAAATTTTTTAATTAAATAATAAGTTTATTCTTAAAGTTTGTTTCAAATTTTATTATGTGTACATTGCATTTCTATTTAAGTTTCATTTTTTTTGTAGATGAATTTAAAAATATTGACAGACATTTGATAAATCATTTTGTTATCTTCCGTTCACTTTAATTTATGAAATATGAACTAAGTTTCATAAATATTTCTTGCATTTAATTTTTTATCTTTTACTTTTTTATGTTTATTTGTTTAAATAAACTGAATAAATGGTTTTGAGAAATTTTAAAATTTAAATTAGGTGTGTATGTAAATTTCTCGATGTATACTAAAACCGATACCGAACCACCTTAAACCATATCGAACTGAAATTTAGGGCCGGGATTATATTGGTATAACATAAGATCTTATATCGAACTCAAATATTTGATACGAAATCGGTACGAGCTAAATACCGTACCATGATCACCCTACAAGATCTTACACAAAGAGATTCTCTCTAATCCGGTTCCATTATTATCTGCTTTTAGTAAAATTTACGATTGTAAAATTTATGATTTAATTTATTAATCCAAATTAACTTATTTAATTATTATAAAAATTTAAAATAGAACTTATGAATTTCAAAATAAACTTTTTCATCTTCAAGGAATATCTTAGTTTAAATTTATATTGAGTACAAAATACCAGTAGTTTTAAAGGTGAAGTCTATGCTTTGTTACTTGAGAAGTTCCCCAACTTATAGGATGATAATAAAAGAGTAATTTCATAATTAGTCCTTTATAATTTGGGGATTTTCATATTTAGTCCTCTATTATTAAATAGTATCTTCGTAGTCATTCTGTTATGGGTGTCTTTCCACAAATTGTCCTTTTTTTTATCTTATGTCATGTTGGTGTTAATTTCAAGACTAAAAGTATAATTTGACATCAACCTTAATTATGTCCATTAACGTATTCAGATATTGGTTAGACGACGGATAACATAAAAATAATAACTATGACTGTGGGCTAAGATTCTGACAAAAGACCACATCTGTAGTATGTACGTGGTTTTAGTATGAAACGACTGTAATTGACAAACGACACATTAGAAGCGGTCTTTGAATTGTGTATGACAAGAAAGATATATTATCAATGTGAACTTACGCTTTTAGCCTTCAAATTAACACCAATATGATAGAAATAAAAAAGGACCGTACTATTTGTAGAAAGATACACATATAAAAAAAGGACCACTGAGGTAACATTTGATAAAAGATAATTAAATAAGGAGACCCACTTTATAAAGGACCAATTATAGAATTTACTCTAATAAAAAAATACTCTATCTTGAACTTGTAAAAAAACATACCTCATCTCTAAAAAATGTAACAAATGGGTACCCCTTGCCGGAATTTTGAAAATCTTGTTGGTGAGTGCACATGTGACCGTTCACTTTGCTTGTTGTTTACATGTGACATTTCATATGACTTCCAAATTAATTTTTAATTTATCTTATATCTGATTAACTTTGTACTTGACACATATAAAGTTATGTTTTATTTTTTAGAAAAATTATATATTACTCCGTATATATACAATATCATTTTTTCTTTTTTTTAATGGTAGATTTCAAATTCCATTTTTTAAAGCTATGCTTTCTAGAATATTTTTTTTTAAAAAATCGTATGTTTTCTAAATAATTGTTTTCTAAATATTTTCTAAATCGTAGATTTTTTTTTAAAAAAATTGTATATTTACAAAGTATTTTAAACCAAAGTAGCTATTATTTTTTAAATAATTGTCTATGTTGTAATTTAAAAGGGAAGAGTTTCATATTTAGTTAAATTTTAAAATAGTTATAATCTTTTGGAGTTGTAATTTAAATAGATAAATAAACACTACTACAAGAAATTAATTGATTTTCGACTGAAAATTTCCGTTGCAAACATCTAATTTTCTCTCGCAACTACTATTTGCAACGCAGTTTGAGACGCCTTAGGATCCGTCGCATCTTTTTGGCCGCAAAAGCAAGTGCGATGAACCCGTCGCAAGGTTGCGACGGAACCTGCGAAGGACATGTCCCGTGGTCTAATCTACGATGGATATTGCGACGTCTATCTATTACTCCCTCCGTTTGGAAAAAGTGTTCCTATTTTGACTTTGTGTAAAAATAAGGAAGTATTAAATTGTAGTTGACTTCCAATTTTGCCTTTGATTTGATAGGTAAAAGTAAGATGTGATGGATAGATTATTAGAGATAAAATATGATGTGATAGGTTTGGTATGAAAAAGTACGGGTAAAAGTGGTTTTTTAATAGAAAGTGGAAGTATTTTGTTGAAAGTGAAAAAAATGAAAGAGGAAGTGTTTTAAAAAACGGAGGAAGTACTACGTAATAAGTTATTTTAAATTATACGGAGTATTTAAAAATATAAAGTGTAAACATTTAAATAATGTGATAATTTAAACACTAATCTAAAATAAAATCATTTAATGCTCCAACTAGATGAATAGTAAAACCATTTAATGCTCCAAGTCACTCCAATCATCCACCCACGATTATGACATTGTGAATGTGTGAGAAAGAATTGTCTATTCTCATTAAGATCAATCCTAGGTTCACAAATAGAATACTCACAAACTCCACAAACTTACTATTTATGATTTAAAATTTTATTTTAAAATCATTTTAGACCATTTAATTTTTTCCATTGAAATTCACAAATAGTAAGTTTGTGAAGTTGTGACCATTGTGTTTGTGAACCAAGCATTTCCTTTCTCACTAATCTCACCTTATACGGTTATACTCTATAACATAATTTTTCTTTAAAAAAATTGGGTGTTGCTTAATCTTCGACTAGTGAACTACGGAGTAGTATTTTAAATATGTTTGCAACGCTTTATAAAGCTCTAGTTCATCTTAAAATGGTCCGGTACATTTTAAAGCTTGCATTATAATTGGGGTAATGGTATAGATGCCCGTGGTTTATAAAAGGGTGTTAATAGATTCTTTATTTTCAAAAGTTATTTGTAAAACTCTTGTTCATTTTAAATTGTACACAAACACCCCTCTTATATTACCTATTTTTAAAAATAAAATGACATTTATACCCTTTGTTTTTCTCTATTTTCAAGTTTTACTCTTTTATTTACATTTTTTATTATGCAAATAAATGAAATAAAATATACGCCCTCTTTTCTAAATAAATTTTTTTTATTTATTTATTTTTCAAAAAAATATTTTTTTAAGAAAATTTTACAAAAGAAAACGAAAAATAAAAAATGAAATAAAATACACTTTTTTTGTTGTAAATAAAAGTAAAATAAATAAAATAAAAAAAATAGATGACATATACTCATTCTATCTCTAATTAAAAATTCTAACTTGTTTGTTTTTAAATGTAAAATAATTTTTTTAAGGACTTTAAAAAATGAAGAACAGAAGGACGAAACAAAATACGGAGTTAAAGAAAAGGACTATTTTTTACGGAGTATATTTTTATTTCTTTACATTACCTTTTTCAATTATTTTTTTGACTTCATACATAATATTTTATTTTTAATTTTCTTTTGTAACATTCCCCAAAAAAATTATTTTTGACGTTTTTTTTGTAAACCACAGGGTACCCTTACTATTAGCCCCATTATAATTTTATAATTTATGCACTAGCGATTTAGTTGTGTTTCTGATACTTAACCACTCTTTTTATAGAAAGAAAAACATACTCATATTTTATTAAATTTGTTTACAATCTTAAAAAATAGTCCAGTTTAATTTTACAATCAAATTAGATAAACATTAATCATCAGTAAAATAAAAATTACATTAGATACCATTCATACCAATAATAAAACAATTGTTTGAAAAATTTAAACAAATCTTACACACATCATTTTTATAATCCACATTGAATAAATTGTTACTCCCTTCGTCCCAATTTATATTACTTGTTTCGGTTTATGGTGTCTGACTGAAATTATTTTAAAAAAATGATGTAAAATTAAAAAAAAATTACATATTAAAAGACTACATCAAAAGATCTACAAAACTAGTGGTGACATGATTATTTTATTTTATCAAACAACTACTAAAAAAGTGAATGAAGTTTGAGACCCGGGCACGCCCCATAACGGCAATGTCGGCACGGTGGAGCAAGCGTTAATGGCGTTTGAAGAATTAAAGGGACATGCCATTTCCGTCAAGCCCCATAAGGGAGGGCCTAAGAGCATGTGCATAGGCTTGCCAATGGGTCGAATTCGGGCCGGTTCATAGTGTTCTATACCTCTACCCTTAAAAAATTGATCCTGACTCATACCGGTTTATCCGATGGGTCTTGAAGTTTTATCCCGGATTGGACCCATTGGATTTCAGTATCGGGTCGGGTATACCCATGATAAAAGTTGACGTCTTTTATTTTTCTATAATTGAAATATAATTAGTGAAAATACTATGAATAAAAAAACATTTTAACTGAATATATATAAAAATAAGACTAATGCTGCAACAAAAATTTGTTTTCTTTACCAAAAATCTATAACAAAAATCTTAGGTTCATAATTGGCCTTCTTGTCACATTCATTCATGTTGCTAGAATATATCTTTATAACATTATAGCTAATTTCAAACTATTTATTTTATACTACTGCATAAACTAACGTGTACATGTCTCTATCCCTCTAATGTGGTGAAATGAATACAAATATATTTGGAAGCCACACACCCAGCGAAGAAGGGAGTAGCGAAGAAGAGAGGTAGGATTTTGTAATATTTAATATTATCTATTTATTTAACCGGTACGGGTTTTAAACGGGTCGGGACTACTCGTCCTATATCCGACCCATTATTTTTTAAATAACGGGCACGGGTTCAGGTACGGGTAACGATATTTTTTATACTCCTAAACCCGCTAAAAGATTACGGGTATTATATGGGTTCGGATCTATACCCGACCCATTGAACATGTGCAGTGGCGCTCCAAAGTCTTTCGCGCGCATTCCACGTCAAAAAAAAGTTCCTCCTTCCTTGCGTGGTGCTGCCGTTCTACCATGACTTGCCACTGCATAACATGTCGCATTCCAGTCATTTGCCACCACATTAAAGTGTCGCATTCCATTCCTTACTTGATATTGCAATGCTCCGAGAACAGAAGAAACTCGACAACGTGTTATAGAGATGACATTAAAGTAGGAGGAGTACGTACAAGTAGACAGCTCATCATTTGTCCTCGAAAGCGAGATATCTTATCATCCATTGCACCTACCCATTATTTGTGTCTCTGTGCACTACCACTCCCATTGCCGAAGAGGACTATATATACACTACACACTCACACATACTCCAGTGCCAAGATACATAGAGAAGCATTATTATATTATATATCAGAGTGAATATATAGTATAACTAATCAAGGATAAAGTAATAACAACAAATAAGAATAATGTCTGCAGAAAACGTGTTCGGGAAAGCCATCACGGTGCTTGAATACCCGGACAGGGAAGCGAGAGCTGCGGCGGCGAACGCGGCGATCGAGGCGGACGACAAGCACAAGCAGGTGAAGCAGTACGTGAACAAGCTGAAGAGCGCGTACGGCGACGGCATCTCCGTCCTGGCCACCATCTACAACGCCACCGGCGAGAACATTTACTTCTCCGCCTCCAAGGACTGGTACGGCAAGCTCTACACCGACTCCTCCTACCCAAAAATCCTCCAGAACGGCCAGTGGGGCGGCTTCCTGCACTGCAAGAACGACGCCGCCCCTAGCGGCACCGAAGCCGCCGTCATCTTCCGCGCCAAAGCCAACGACTCCTCCGGCGGCAGGGCTGACGTCGTCATTGCTTGGGATGATCCTTGGGCTCCCGGCTCTAGTAACAAGGTACGTAGTACGTACTAATGCCACCGGAACCTCCCGGGGGCTTTTTTAAATGAGAAATTTACCTAAATAGGACTAAAACATAATGACTTTCCCGAACATAAGACCATATGTTTTTATTTACCATATAATATAATATGGATTTGGTTGTGGCATATATGCATGGATGAATAATTGGCGCAGGCATACACGGAAATAGGGGAGAACGACAAATACAACTCGGCGTGGGATGAGGTCCGTTCCAAACTGGGTTCGTCGGGGGCGTCCCAAAGCGGCTTTGGCTTCGGGCTCTACTCCACCGTTACCATTCCACAGGAAAGCTCCCCGATTCTTGAGGCTGTTCTCGCTCTTGAGTGATCGAATTATTGCCCGCCCGCCCGCCGGAACTCATTTACTTACTTTGCATGGCGATCAAAATAAATGCATGGGCTCCATCATCATTAATCCTGGGAGGAACTTGATCTGATGATGTTCGCCCTCAATAAATCCAAAATAAAATGCTGTTTGTTTTTGTTTGGTGTGCCTTTAATTGTGTGATGTGGTGCTATATAGGCTACGGCCGATCCACTTTGTTTGATTAATAAAATTTGCCTCCTCATAGGCTACTACTTGTTCGAATTATGTTTTCTTCGCAGGATTATTTTTGTTTTGTTCTTTTTATATTCAAAGCTCATGCATTAATTGATTAAGGCTCCGTTTGGCATCAGCGTCAGAGATTAGCGTTAGCGTTTTGAAAAAGCTATCCGACGGTAGCCTTTAGCGTTAGCGTTTTCAGAATTAATCTGCACCGTTAAAATTTTATCCAAAACACTAACGCTAATCGAAAACGCTGTTACCAAACAAAGCCTAATACAACGACCGATCGAGCAGATTATTTTTTTTTTATTTAAAAAAGAACGAAATGCATGTAGGGAAAACATCACCCCTTCCCAATGTTGCACACATTTGTAGTTAGAAATGATTTCAACGAAAACTATATGAAATATTTGCACTAAATAGCACTAAAACTTAAGTCATTTCTCTAAATAGCACTTAAATTATTTTATTCCCTAAATAACACTTAATAATGTCCATAATGACCAGTGATGACAAAAATTTATTTGAATAATGACTAATGGATAATTACTAAAAGTGCTACATTGGAAAAAAATACACGTAATACTATTTAGGGAAAGTCATTATGTTTTAATGCTATTTACGTAAATTCCTCAAACTATATTAGAAGAATCAAAAACAAAATTCACAAATTTTACAAGGACTAAAATCATATTTAACTCATTTTCTTATAAAAGGTGCGGATTTATCAAAAGAAGAAATGAATTTAGTAACCATTAAAAGAAAATCACTCACAATGACAAATAATTGGAAAATATTGATACTATGTTACAAAAATGATAACTTTTGTATATACCATCCATGCAGTGGCAGGTCCAGAAAATAATATGACTGGGGGCAAACATACACTAAAGAGTATAATGGGGGTTCGTAGCGCTCCTGATTTTTTTAAAGCATTCGATTATGATAAAAAATAAAGAAATTTAATTTCAAACAAGCATTAAAATTACATGTATATCTTTAAGTGATTATTTTTTACTTTTAAACTAAGATTTTCTTTTGTCATTGAGGGCAAACTAATTTTCGTGTGACTGAAGTTATTTTCAAATTATTTTTATATGCGCGTTACGTTGTTAGACTGAAGTTATTTTCAAATTATTTTTATATGAAAAATGGTGTAAAATTAAAAAACAAAAACTATATACTCCATCCGTCCCAAAAACTCCTTCACCTTTCTTTTTTTTGTCTCACAAACTCCTCCTCTTTCTATTAAAAATTCACTTTTACCCCTACTAATTCTTAATTTACTTATCAATCATACTTTTTCACTAATAATTTATCTATCACATCAAGGTATTTTTGAAAGTCAATACAAAAATATTTCACCCTTAAATTTGCTAAAAGTCAAATTGAGAACATCTTTATATAACGTATGAAATATTTAAAAGCTACTCCGTATATTAAAAATCTACAAAAGTTTTTAACCATTTAGCAAGCTAAAGATGTGAGAGTAAAAGTTTCTGGTAAAGTGGGACGCTTGACCACTATGATGGACGACAATTTTTAAGATATACTTTGGGACGGGCTTAGAAACAATAATAATATTTATTCTTTTGTAGATCTTGTTTGGTTTTGATTTTAGCTTGTTACATTAGGATATTTGGAGTGTACTTCAATGATGTAACCTTTCCAAAGTGTTTATCCTTTAATAAAATTTACTACTTCCTCTGTCCCACTACATTTGTCCACTTTCATTTTAGCACATCATCCAATACACTTCTTTAATCCATTTGATCTTGTAATTTGTATATTAAAAAATTATAGAAATTATATATTAATAATCTATATGTTAAGACAAATCAAACAAGATCACGCATGACTATATTTAGACTTACACATTGAGAGAATTTGATGAGTCAAAGTGCTTAGATGAACAGTTCTAAAAATCAAAAGTCGACGAATATAGCGGGACGGAGGGAGTATTAAGTATATGTAACACCTTTTGGTAGGATGACATGTTTCGGTGAGATGACGCCAATCTCTGCTTTGTCTACTGCCTTCCGCAACGGTCACCAAAAAGAAGAAGAAAAATACTGGAACCGGAAGCAGCGGTTCCAGTCCTCAAAAATTCAGAACCGGACACGTATCCACCAGTTTCAGGTCTGGTTCCTATACCGCCTTTGGTCTAGTTTTGGAACCGTCGGTGCCGGCGCCGATGTCAATTCTTATGTGGAGTCGTGTTTAGTCCTAGAGTCCGGATAAGAAGAAGAAGAAGAAGAATGTTAGAAAATGCCTTGAATCTGTATTCTAGACGTATTGGGATTACGACTAGGAATATGATTAGGATTATATTCATATTCTCATATACTCCGTATGTAGTAGGATTAGGATTACTCATATCTCCTTCCCTATATATATGGCTTGTATTTGTAGTCCTCAATACATGATAGAGAGATTTAAAATACTGTTCAATAATATTTTTCTCTTCTGTCCGTGGAGGTTACTAACAGGTTGTTAGTAAACCACGTTAAATCTTTGTCTTATCTCGTGATTGTCGATTGTTCGTGTTCTTACTTTTTCGCGTCTGTCATGACAAACTGGTATCGGAGCCAAAGGTATTCAACACCAGAGCACAAATTGTCGCCTAGGTTTTTCCAGATCTGTTCGTGTGTAGCCGCAGCCGACAGCCGTCCAAATCCTTTGCCGTTGAAGAGCGTCGCTGTGTAGGATATTTGCATAGCGGCAGGAGCTGCGATCCAGAGGAGGGACGCGTAGGAGCGAGGATGAGCAAACCAACGCCGCCGTCGAAGTAGCCGCTGGAGATCCGTTTAGCCGAGCGCCGGCGCAGGTTTGATTCTGCCGTTGGTCCGTCCAATACCCCAGTCAAACACGCGCAGAGGAGTCGCCTCTTGTCGTCAAGAAATCGCCGCCGTCCGTCCAGCAGTCGTCACGTCAGAATCGCGTCCAGCCGCAGCCGCCCAGTCGCGCACAGTGCCGTCCTTCCGCTGTCCAGTTTTGTAGCTGCCGAAGAAGATAGGTTTTGGTCATCTATTCCGCTGTGGAGTTTTGTGAGAAGAAAAAAAAAAGAGGAGGGTTTGGGCTCTTCTTGAATTGATTTGGGCTGTGATATTTTTGGTGGGTGGATCTTCTGGGCTGATTTGTTTTCAATTGAGTTGCCATTTGGACTTTGACTTGGACTTTCCTGTGATTTGACCAAAATTACTCTATTTTGGGTGAGGAAGATGTCGTCTACTCTGAACGTGAAGATTGGCAAATTCAACGGGAGAAGTAGTTTTGGCTTATGGCAGATCAAGATGCGATCGTTGCTAAAGCAACAGGGATTGTGGGCCCCGCTCACTGAAAAGGCGAATAAGGCAGACAAGAAGGATGAAGAGTGGAAAACCCTAGAAGAAAAGGCCCACTCGACACTCATGTTGTGCTCTTGTCTAACGACGTCATCATTGAAGTCGCTGATCAGGAGACCGCTGCTGCCCTCTGGATGAAGTTAGAGAGTTTATACATGACGAAGTCTTTAACCAATAAGTTGCTCTTGAAGCAACGTCTGTTTCGACTACGCATGCAGGAAGGTACACCCCTTCGAGACCATATGGAAAAGTTGAGTAAAATTTTGCTAGATCTTCGAAACACTGATGTTAAAGTAGATGATGAGGATGCTGCTTTAATTCTGTTAGTTTCTTTGCCCGAGTCATATGAAAATTTTGTTGAATCTTTTATGGCTGGTAAAGAAACTTTGTCTCTGGATGATGTTCGATCTGCTCTCCACATGAGAGAAGATCGTCAACGGGCTACTAATTCAGGAATAGAAAATCAGGCATCAGGACTATCTGTTACGGGTAAGGGACAGAAGACCTTTGGAAAAAAGAAGCCAAACTTTAAAGGTTCAAAAGGTCTTAAGCCCAGTGACATTTGCAACTACTGCAAAGAACTAGGGCATTAGAAGTTTGATTGTCCTAAGCAGAAGATGCAGAAAAAGGACAAGATCGAGGATGCTCACGGTTCTGCAACTATGGCAGAAGCTGATGATACAAACTCTGAAGAAGATCTGGTTCTATTTGTCAATAACCAAACACATTGTAAGGATGTGTGGGTTCTTGACTCTAGGGCGTCGTATCATATTAGTCCATATAGGGAGTGGTTTTCAACTTATGAGCAGATAGACGAGGGTGATGTTTCCATGGCTAACGGTGTTGTCTGCAAGGTAGTTGGAATAGTCTCCATCAGGTTGAGGACTCATGATGGTACATTCTGCACCTTGAATAAAATTAGGCATGTTCCACAGATGACGAAGAATCTGATATCCTTGACTCGTCTTGACAGTAAGGGTTTCAGTTTCGAAGGTAAAGGTGGAGTTATGAGTGTCTACAAGGATTCGAAGGTGGTTCTGAAAGGTATTAAACATGGTACCTTATATCTTCTACAGGGATCGGTCATTGTTGCATCTGAGATTCATAGAGGTGATGAAAGTCTTGATGTTAAGGTGGAGGTTCCATCTGCACGGATTGAGACTGTTGATCACCTAGAAGAATATATAATCTGTTTCTACGCCTCAATGAGGCGATCTGTGCCCCGGGAGGGGGCAATCTGGGCCCGTTTGGGGCAATCTGACCCATGAAGGGCAATCTGGACTTCAAGAGGAGTCATCTAGACACTAGGTTGGTGTCATCTGTTTCTGTTCAGGTTCCATGAAGAGTCATCTGGACTTAATGTGGAGTTTGCATCTGTTGGTGTTTTAGCTTGAGTTATCTGTTCCCATGAATGAGGGAAATCTGTTTTGGTGTGTCACTACACTTCCGAACTCAAGTGAAACAATTTGTCCCTGTCTTTTAGTGACATTTGTGTCCTTGGTTGGACTTCTGGTACCTACAGTACATCTGGTCACTTCTGGAAGGAAATCTGGTACATCTAGTGTCTTTTGAGGAGATTCAAGTCAAGGTGGAGATTTGTTAGAAAATGCCTTGAATCTGTATTCTAGACGTATTGGGATTACGACTAGGAATAGGATTAGGATTATATTCATATTCTCAGATATGTAGTAGGATTAGGATTACCCATATCCCCTTCCCTATATATATGGCTTGTATTTGTACTCCTCAATACATGATAGAGAGAATTTGTAATCTGGTGAAAAAATACTGTTCAATAATATTTTTCTCTTCTGTCCGTGGAGGTTACTAACAGGTTGTTAGTAAACCACGTTAAATCTTTGTCTTTTCTCGTGATTGTCGATTGTTCGTGTTCGTACTAATTCGCGTCTGTCATAACAAAGAAGAAGAAGAAGAAGAAGGAAGAAGAAGAAGAAGGAGTTGAGGAAGAAGAAGAAAACGAGGGAAGAAGAAGAAGAAAAAGAAAAAAAGAATCAAGCACGGCAGACTGCTTGCATGCAATGGGCAGCCGCCACAAAAAACACCGTGTTTCCAGCTTTGCTTTGGGCCGCTGTTCGGCGAGTGTCACAGTGTGCGGCGCGGCGGAACTTCGGCAATGGTAAGCGCGGCGTGGTGCTGCGTCGGAGTTTGAGCGGATGGGTTTGTGCGGTGCCATTGTAAATGTCTTTAAGACCAAAATAGGAGTTCACACTGTCATTGTTACACCATCACATTGCCTTTCGTCACAGTCGGCCACCCAAGTGCCGCGCGGTTGACTAATCACACAATATATTACACTGTTCTCACTTTTTATCAAACTACCAACACGTAATCTTACACCACACTGTTATTATACTCTTATTTAGGTCTTAGAAGACTTATTAAGACTCTTATTTAATATTCCTTCCGTTCCTGAGTATTTGTCCACTTTTGACTTTTTTGGTCAAAATTAGTAAACTTTGATCTCAAATTAAATAAAAATGATTTTAGTATTGATACAAAAATAGTTTTATTAGATTTATTATATCAAATATTTTTAAATATTATTTTATCTCATTAATATAAAATATATATTTTACTTAATTATAGATCAAATATTGAAAATGATTAACTAAAAAAATTAAAATTGAACATATATTCAGAGACTCAAAGAAAAAAATCGTACTTTTTAGTCCTGTCCAAAGAGATTTCTAGGAAAAAAATAAGTATTGAATGGGATCCACACCCGACAATAGCGATGAAGTGAGGAAAATTCATATGGCGAGTTAAGAGGGGGGATTCACACCCTCGACATGAACTATGAACTCATTTAATGATCCGACTCACCCCACAATGATGCACCCACAAAACTCCACGGCCAATTATTAACTGTTACCCCCACCATGAATAGTAAACTCATTTAATGCTCCAACTCAATCCATGTTTTGATGAGTGATGTTCACATGGTCAGTGGAAATCTTCTCACACGGCTTTTATATACTATCCTTCCTTAAATATTTGGAGGATAGACTAAAATATGTCTAAAACATTAAAAATATACTAAAATAGAATTTTTATATTTTTAATCTCAAAATAGAATTTACATTACCATACATGGTCATATATATTACCAAAAAAGTATATTAATTTGCACATGTACACTGCCACATTACAAAGTCACATTACCACAGCGCAAAGTCCTATTTCGGAGAAAAAAACATGAACGTCCTATTTTGGTACTTTTCTCTATGTTTTAGTCATATTTAGGGTGATTTCTATAAATATTTATATCATTTCAAAAAAATGAGATAAAATATTAAGTTTTTTCATTTCATTTACCTAAATATTCAATTCGTATAGAAAAAAATAAAATTTACATATTTAAAAACTACATGAAAGATTCTTTAAAATAAAATGTGTCAAGAATATTTTATTCTATCAAGTAATTAATTAAAACGTACAAACAAATAAAAGTTCCCGTAATGGATGGAAAAGAAAATGTAGCAAACATTTTGGAACAGAGGAAGTAAGTATTTTACTCCGTATTTTTTTGCAAAAGATTTACTGTTTTAATGCGACAAATGCACTTAAGTCTAGAGAAGAATTTGTCATTTTTTATATACTTATTCGTCCAACAATAATCTAATAATTTTGAATAACGTGCAAAATCCATTCTTTTTAAAAATTATTTAATTTACAAATGGGTATACTATAAACAAAATATAAATTACATGGTTTAGAGCTACATAAAAAATTCTATAAAAAAAGATCTGATAAGAATATTTTATTTTATCAAATGATAGATGAAATTATGCAAAAAAACGTAAGTTCTTGAGAGCATGTAATAGTAATTCGAAAGTTTATTGTTGGCCGAATTGAGTAGTTCTAATATATATAAGAATCATTTTGATATAGAGAAATATAGAGAAAGTACAAAAATAAGAGTTGCATGTTTTTCTTCTAAATAAGAGTTTGCACTGTGGTAATGTGACACTTACATGAGCATTTTAATATACTTTTTGGTAATGTATATGGTCATGATTGCTAATATACATATATTTGAACTACGGAGTACATTTTTGGGAATAAAATCATGAAACTTCTATTTTGATATATTGTCAATGATTGACTCTTACTTTAGTATTTTTTCCTTATTTTCACGAGTTTATAGGAGCTGATGAGACTGTACATATTGCTTTTATCATATAATATTTGTATGCTTTTAATTTAGTGTTATATAAAAAACTTTTTTATTGTATCAAATATTATTTTTTTACTTTACTTACTTTTATTTAACATCACAAAAATATTCATTATATATAGAAATAATACTTTTAGTATTAAATAAAATGTTTATAGAAAGACAAATTCTATGGTGGACTTAAGGTTCACCATGAACTTACATATGAACAAAATAAGTATTTTTCTAACTACTTAAATAAGTATTTGTTTTTTAATAAACAAAATAATAAAAAAAAATTATATGAGAAGTTCCACAAAAAAAATATGGACCTAAAGTGCACCAGCAACCTTATTGAAAAGCTGGTAATAGAAAATGCTAGGTAGACTTGCCAAATCTCATCTTCTTAAAAAAATAGAGTCTCAAATACGGAGTAATAATATATATATTAAAGGAAATGAAAAGAATTTGGTTATTGTAGACGTTAAATGATTAATTCAGTTTACCATAACTCAACAATAATTTTCTTTTTTCCAATAATAATTTTATTTCATACGATACCACATTTATGTTTTACTAATTTTATTATGTAACATAATTTATTTTATTATATATATCATAAAAGATAAATAATCAATTCTTCATTTGTCACAAATTTATCGTTATTAAAATTTTACTTTTAAAAAAGAAATATTTGGACTAAGTAACACTAAAAATTAAGTCATTTCTCTAAATAGCACTTAAATTGTTTTATTCCCTAAATAACACTTAATAATGTCTAGTGATGACATACATTTACTTGAATAATGACTAATGGATATTGACTAAAAATGCTACGTTGAAAAAAAACACATGTGATGCTATTTAAGAAAAGTCATTATGTTTTAGTGTTATTTACGTAAATTGACCAAAAATGCTCCAAATAGGAGTAACTTTGCATCGGCATCCCCAAAATATCCATCGACATCTGTGCTGCGCATCCAATTTTTTTCTTAGCTTATTAATCGTGCTACATGTCCACAAGAGCACAAATAATTGTGCCCCATGTTCACATGTCACATAACTGAACTTTCACAGCCCGGATTGAATCCCAAATCTTCACAAAAAAAGTCGGGAGGGCAAATCGGTAGAGGAAGAAAGAAGGTGGCGGAAGGAGTCTTATTTGGGTAATTAAAAACTTAAACTCTTATTTTGTGGATTAATACAATGTTTTAGTCGAATTAGGAGTGATTTCTATACTTATAAGATGAAAACATTTTTTTCCTTTTGCTTTGCATATGTAGATATAGACAAAAAAAGACCTAGGTACATAAATTAAAGGAAAAAACATTAGCATGGTTTAAAACAAATTAAAATTAAATTTGTTTTCTTCTTGTGTTCTTTTATGGCTTTGCAAATTTTATTTGTAAGGTGTTTGAGAGTGCATTTGAAAACAAGTTATATCTTCTACTTTATTAAAATACAACCTTGAATGTTTGACAATCTACTTTAACTTATGGATTATGGTTTTAAATTTTCCAAAATATATTTACATGTTATATACTCCCTCCGTTCCTGAGTGTTTGTCCACTTTTATTTTTGCACACCATCCAATGCATTTCTTTAATCCATTTTATTTTGTAATTTGTATATTAAAAAATTATAAAAATTATATATTAATAATCTACGGAGTATATGTTAAGACGAATCAAACAAGATCACACATGACTATTTTTAGGCTTACACATTGAGAGAATTTGATGAGTCAAAGTGCTTAGATGAACAGTTTCAAAAGTCAAAAGTGGACAAACACTCATGGACGGACCAAGTATGTGATTATTTGTCACTCATCTTTATGCTGAGTTGTAGTGTAAAATTGCATGTAAGTACTAGCAAAGGGAACAACTGCTGAGAAGGTAAATAGAAAACGTGAAGGCCATGCAAAGTCAAGAACCTGTTCTTAAATACTCCGTAATTAATGCTCCCTCCGTTCTCAAAAATACTTTCTCTTTCATTTTTTTCACTTCCTACAAAACACTTCCCCTTTTTATTAAAAAACCACTTTTATCTTTACTTTTTTATACCCTACCTATCATATCATACTTTTTTCTCTAATAATCAATCCATCACATCTTACTTTTTTACCCATCACATCAGGGGCAAAATTGGAAGTCAACTATAATTTTACACTTCTTTAATTTGCCTTATTTTCAAAGTGGGAAGGGTTTTCCCAAAGGGAGGGAGTACTGAATAAATCATTGAACTTACTTTATGTTTAATTTTTACGGTTGAACCAAATCATTGAGCTTAGTTTATGTTTGATTTTTACGATTGAACCCTAATAGTATGTTTTCTTGAATAGAAATATTGTACCGAGTTGTTATTTTATGTTTACATTGTTACATTACGCTCTAGACTACGTGCATGACTCGAGTCACCATGGATGATGAGGTACGGTGTTACCAGGGGCGGACCCACATTGGGTCATACGGGGTCAAGCGACCCCACGGAAATTATAAATTTTTTTAGTATATATATATACAATTTTCTTAGAGTATACTTAGATTTAGTATATATTTTAACAAACGCTTCATGTACCAACCAGTACCCGCTGAAGGAGTGGTATGTTCCGTATATTGCATTGGGGTAGGCGGTCCTGAGTTCGAAACTTGTTGTAGGAATGGCTATGCATTATTTTTTGGAAGGCTAAATCAAGAACAAATCTTCAAATTTTCCATTTATACTTTGTGGACTTTTTTTCTTGCATAATTGAATCTAATTATCTAAATTGAATAATTTTTTTTAATTGTAAATTATGAAAATTTTAATTTTGTTGTTATAAATTGGTTATTGTGAATAGCATAATAGAGAATTGAATTCCTTTATTTTTTTAAGATTGTGGTTTGTGAATATGTTAATATAATTAGGTTATGTTTTAAGTTTATAATGTTTTTTATTATTTAAATTTCAATATAGGATGCAAAGGAATGAGTATATATAATTTTTTAGAAGATGACACCCCCAATTTCTCGAACAAATCTTCATCTTCCATTTCTACTATGCCAGATTTTTTCGAACAAATCTTCATCTTCCATTTCTACTTTGCCAGATTTTTTTCTTACATAATTGAATCTAATTATCTTAATTGAATATTTCTTTTTTTATTTGTAAATTATGAAAATTTTAATTTATTGTTATAAATTTGTTATTGTGAATAGCAGAATAGAGAATTGAATTCGTTTATTTTTTTAAGATTTTGATTTGTGAATATGTTAATATAATTAGGTTATGTTTTAAGTTTATAATGTTTTTAATTGTTTAAATTTCAATATAGGATACAAAGGAATGAGTATATATTATTTTTTGGAAGATGACACCCCCAATTTCTCGAAAAAATCTCCATCTTCCATTTCTATTTTGCCAGATATTTTCTCTTACATTATCGAATCTAATTATCCATATTGGATATTTCTTTTTTTATTTGTAAATTATGAAAATTTTAATTTATTGTTATAAATTTCTTATTATGAATAGCAGACTAGGGAATTGAATTTGTTTATTTTTTTAAGATTGTGATTTGTGAATATGTTAATATAATTAGGTTATGTTTTAAGTTTATAATTTTTTTAATTATTTAAATTTCCATATAGGATGGAAAGGTATTTTAAAAAACACCAAGATTTAAAAAGAAAGAATTGAGTGAGAATCCAAAGATGTATTTCATATTTGCAATGTAGAACTATTTTTAGTTAGTATTTTCAATAAAATATATAAACTTTAACGTTATGTATTATAGAATACTGTTTATTTATTGTTAACGATTGGATATAAATTTTTTACATTTCGACCCCACGATTCAAATGTTCTGGGTTCGCCCTTGGGTGTTACGTTACCTTCTCTCATTAATCGTCCACCGGAGGAGCCATCCTTGTTTGTATTTGTCCTTGCAAGATATATCTTATCATCCATTGTACCTACCCAATGCAATAATTGTGTGTGTAAGGGTGTACACCCCCACCGTTCCCATTACCAATTCAGAGGACTATATATACACACATACTCTGGTGGCCATGGAGAAGCATTGCATCGAGAGCATATTATTCATCGGAGTTAGTTAACGCTATACTACGTCGTAGGATAATTAATAAGAATCATGTCTTCAAAAAACGTGTTCGGGAAAGCCATCACGGTTCTCGAATACCCTGACAGGGAAGCGAGAGCTGCGGCGGCGTACGCGGCGATGGAGGCGGACGACAAGCACAAGCAGGTGATTCAGTACGTGAACACGCTGAAGACCGCGTACGGCGACGGCATCTCCGTCCTGGCCACCATATACAACGCCACCGGCGAGAACCTCTACTTCTCCGCCTCCAAGGAATGGTACGGCAAGCTCTACACCGGCTCCTCCTACCCGAAAATCATCCAGAACGGCCAGTGGGGGGGCTTCCTGCACTGCAAGAGCTCCGCCGCCGCTAGCGGCAGCGAAGCGGCCGTCATATTCCGGGCGAAAGCGAATGACGACTCGTCGTCGTCCAAGGGCGGCAAGGCTGACGTGGTGATTGCATGGGACAACCCTTGGGGTCCGGGTGCGAGCAACAAGGTGTACACGGAGATAGGGGAGAAGGACAAATATAACTCGTCGTGGGACGAGGTCCTTTCAAATCTGGAATCGTCGGGGGCGTCCCTCAGCGGCTTTGGCTTCGGGCTCTATTCCACCGCCACCATTCCACAGGAGAGCTCCCCGGTTCTTGAGGTTGTTCTCGCCGTCGAATGAATTATTGCCCGCCCGCCCGCATTTGCCTCATTCGAATAATAATAATAATAATAATGGCGACGACGACCCATCATCATAATATGAGATGATCGCTTTGCTTTCGTTTTGTTTTGTTTGGTTGTGACTTTAATTAATTGTGTGATGTGTGTGACTTTATATATATAGGCTACTGGCCGATCGACGTTGTTTGATTAATAAAATTTGCCTGCACTTCTTGTTTGAATTGATAATGTTTTCTACGAAGGATTATTTTTGTTTTGTTCTTTTTATATTCAAACCTCATGCATGCCTTAATTGATCAATAAAATTCATCAACAAAACCGAGCTGAACGAAATGGATGCCGGAAAAACATCACCACTTCCCAATTTTGCCTCAACAAGCTAGCTCTAGCTAGCATTAGAATTATGTGGCAACAGGTTCCTAACTTGTGGGTTCAGTATATGCGATAAATTGGGGTGTGAAAATTAAAAAATATACTACTAACATTATTACCCACTATACAAAATATTAATGTACTTCCTCGGTTCCTAAAAACATCGGAGGTTGTGTTATTTGGGGATTTTAAGATGAGTGCATTTTTGTGTTGAGTTTCTAAAAATATCCTTGGATGTAATGGGTAAAAGTAAGATTTGATAGCAATATAGATTAATAAGAAGTAATGAATAGATGTGATGTGATATGTAGGTTAAGAATTAATAGAGTTAAAAGTGTCATTTTAATAGAACGAAAACAGTTTTTTGGGATGGAGGAAAAAAGAAAAGAGAAAAGTTTTCAGAGACGGGGTAATACTCCCTCCGTTCCACAAAACCCTTCCGGTTTTGACTTTGGAGAAAAATAAGGAAAGTGTAATTTTGGTTGACTTTCCAATTTTGCCCCTGATGGCATGATGGGAAAAAGTAAGATGTGATAGTTTGGTTATTAGTGAAAAAGTATGATGTGATAGGTAGGGTATGAAAAAGTAGGGGTAAAAGTGGTTTTTTTTAATAAAAGTGGACGTGTTTTGTGGAAAGCAAAAAAAACGAAAGAGGAAGGATTTTGTGGAACGGATGGAGTAGTATTTTTTCCCATTGGTAAATAATGTAAATTTAATAAAAACCAAGTAGCAAAAAAAACAAATTTATTATTGAGACCTAAAAAATTATTTTCTTCAACGTAATTTCATGTTAGTTATTTCTTTAATGAAAATTTTTTATTTCTATTTATTTAGGGTTTTCACAAGAAAACAAATTTTTGTTTCTTTTTTTAATTTGATATTTGACCAAGAAGAAGTAAATTAAAACATCAATACTTTGAATGGTGTGTAAAATGTTAGCACCACTCAATCCATATAATTTAGATCTCATCTGATCTGGTCTAATCTGATTGGATTTTATCTGATCTGATCTAATTAATTTTGATTTGATTTAAAATTCAAAACAACAATTTGATACTCCCTCCGTCCCAAAAAGATTTACACCTTTCAAAAAAATTACGTTCCACAATCTCCTACCCATTTCTATTAAAAAACCACTTTTACCCCTTACTTTTTCAAACCCTACCTATTACATCATACCTTTTTCTAATAATCTACACATCACATCCTACTTTTACCCATCACATCAAGGATATTTTTGGAAAGTCAACACAAAATTATCCCTCCCTTAATTTCAACTTTAGTCAAAATGGGTAATACTTTATGGGACGGAGGGAGTATGACTTTATAATAACATTTGAAAAATGTAATGATAATTCATATTATCATATAATCAATAGTTTTTATTTTATGATTAATTTTTAATGAAATAAAATTAATTAATTTATATATTAGAATAATCATTCATATTATAATTAATAATATTTTTTATTTTATGATTATTTTTTTATGAAATAAGAATATTGATTTAATATTTTAATAATTATTTCATATATACATTAGAATAAATATTTAATTTATATATGCATTAAAAAGTAATTAAATTTAGATAATCAATATAAACAAGAGATATTATTTTTATTAAAATATCTCATACTTATAAAATATCAGTGTGTGCTTTGCACTGCGAATTTTTTTTTATGATTAATATAACCCATAGATATAATAGTTATTTCAGTTACACTAAAATATACTCCGTATATGAATATGAAATGTTAATTTTATTTAAGTCATGATCAAAGTTGATCAACTCGATGTAGTAAAAGATCAAAACTTTAGAAACTCAAATTACAGGTAGCATTAAAAATGTATTTTAAAAGTAGAATTAGATTGACATTGTCAATGTATTTTAAAAAGGGAGAAAAACCAAAATAGCACTCTTAGAGTATTAAAATACTCTAAATAGCAGTGCTATACGTTTCGTACCTGTGGTTCCAATTTTGTCCTTTAATTAAACAATAAATGTTCATTACGCACTACCAAAAAAATGATTGTTTTGGGCGGTGTAGTTGTTCACTTGTAACTATGTAGTAGGTTGTGTGGTTTTTTATATGTCAATATTTAATGTGGCAGTGTGGAATGAATATATGTTGTTATATCTTACGGCACTAAGTGTATTTTTGTGTTTCTTAATTTCATGCTGGAGTGCAATGTCCATTGACTTATGTAGCAGTGTTTTCATGTATAAATTCTACACCTTCAAAAAGTGTATGACTGTTTTCATGTTTTAATTTCACTGTGTCCAAAAAATGTATAGCTCTTTTTATGTATGAATTCCACACTATTTTCATGTATGAATTCCACACTGCTAAAAATGTGTATGACTATTTTCATGTATAAATTCCACACTGCCCAAAAATATATGACTAATTTCATTATTAATCAATTACACCAAAACACACTGGCCAAACATGGGCTTGGATTTTTCAGTCTTTCTTGATTTTGTATAATGTTAGAAGATGTTAGTATTAGACATGTTGAATTTCATTTATGTGGTACTGAAAAGAAATGGATAATGGAAGGTATTATGATGTAAATTTTAAGACTTTGTAAGCAGTATACACTGCAACATTATATAGAATTGTGCAACATAGCACACTGGCCAAAACACATGACATAACACAGTGCCAAAAAGTATACCTAGATCACAAGCATTCCACACAGTCAAAAATCTTTGAGCTTACACTTCATACTTTGTTTATTAAAGTTATTCAAGCACTAGTCATTTTGGTGATTTTTTTGTATCCACTTCCAAAGGAACTCAATGAATAATTTATTACATCGGGATTTTTAGATATAAATCCTATTTGACCAAAACACACTAGGCAAACATGGTCATAGGACATTTCCAAAAAGTGTAGCTAGAAGTTGATTATTCCACACTTTAAAAAAATAACAGCCCCATATTCAGTAACACAATTCCATAACGAACTTTTGAATGTTCAAACCCAATAGTCATAGAACGAAGTACATGACTTTTACACAGTATGAAACTCAGTTCATAATTCATAACATTGGCAATTTTATATGTATGTCTAATTTCACTTTCATATTATTAATGGAAGTTAATGAAGTACATACAAATTTGTTTAGGCCGTGAACTTTTATACACTGCCATATTTGCACTCTTGTTTACCACATTATACATAGAAGACAAATTCACTGCCAGAAAGTGTTTGCAGAACATGATCAATCCGTAGAAGACAAATTCACTGCCCAAATATTTACAGTCACCATATTGAGTAACACATTTCATAACAATCTCTTTCATGGTAAAACCCAAATGTCATAAAATCAACCACAAGCTATTTGCACAATATGAAATTCAAATAGTAATTTATAATATTGGTAGTTTTATATGTAAGTCCCATTGTCACCACTTGTTTATAGAATTTTTTATGTAGTTTTTTAATATATAATTCCTATTTTTTAATTATACACCAATTTTTACTTATATTGATTTGAAAATAATTTCAATCAAACATCGTAAATCGAATAAGAGCCCTATTTTGGGATGAAGGAAGTATTTATAATTGACATATTCTTATGATATAATTTTGATATATCGTATTTTTGTTATATACTTATTCAAAACTACATTTAATTCATTGAAGAAAGAATTTGATAAAAAAGAGTACAATGCCACTATGCACAAAGTATACATTAATTATGTGAGTCCGAATTTGATATAGAAGGTGAAAGAGGAATTGAAACAATTGATGGTGGATAGATAAAAAGGATTGACAACATAAAGGGTATGATTGGAAGAGATTGACAACATAAATAGCTAATTTTAATAATAATAATAATAATAATAATAATAATAATAATAATAATAATAATAATAATAATAATAATAATAATACAAGTAATTCTTATTGGATCTGATGTGATATCGAATCTCATCTAATTTTAATAAGTTGTACGGAACTGGGGCGTTAGTTCGGCGTGTTTTTAGCTCCTGGCCCAAAATTGAATAGTGGAGCACATAAATTAGTGCGATTCCCCTTGAAAACTTCATCCATCCGACGACGGCCATGACTCACCATCACGCTCCTGCTCCTCCGACACCTTCTCATCACCACCACAGCCACCATCACCATCACGCTCCTCCTCCGCCTCCGCCTACTCACCACCATCACCCTCCTCCGCCTCCTACTCCGTATCCCCCGCCTCTGCACTCCCACCACGATCCTCTTCTTCCTCCGCCGCCACAACCTTATCAGGACTACTTTCATCCACTCAGGTCTCCTCCTCCTCTTCCGATTTCTTCCCCTATCCACCGCCGCCACACCCGCGACCGCGAGCGAGAGGGCTGCTGTTCATGGTACGTCGGTTGTCTCAGCCGTCTAAATCTGATCCAATTTATTCTCCTACCTTATTGTACTGCTGGATTATTTATTATTTTAAAAACCAACCGATTCTCCCATCCCCTAATTCCAATTTCCTGCATCTTTTACCCTAATGAAAATAATTGTCATTTGCATTCAATTTCTTATCAATGAAGAATTGCTATTGCTATTTAAGTTGGAGTATCTTTCTGGAATTATTTGTTTGCAGTTCGATTCTTTGATCCAGCTTATTTATGGTATGTCACCAGACTTGTGTTTACTCATGACTCAATTTGATCCAGATAAATTCATTTGAGTAAAATTAGTCCCTATATATAGGAAATATGAATCAATTATCAGGTACTAGTTTGAGTCAAATTAATCCCTATAATTTTGAGTAATCACAGTTAATTGTTTTGTTTCAATTAAGTCAATTAACAGGTTAACTTATAAGTTTAGAATATAAATTTATCATAAAGGACTAATTCGATTCGCATTTCCTAGTTACAGGGATTAATTTGACTAAACCAAACTCACATCGACCAAATAAACTTGTGAGTCACTTACATGGATTAAAACGAGTATACTCTATGTCACCATCTCCCCCTTATGCTCTGCTCTGTGTAAACTTGTTTACATTGAAAAAATGGGTGATTTTAGTGTCATCTGTTATTTTGTGCAATTATATTTACTTAGATCAGACAAGAATTTGAATAGACGTTGTCAAAAGAGTTAGGAGGTTCGGAGTGTACACTTGTTCAACGATATTACAAAGTCATTGCGGGAACTGGGAACGTTGGCACTCGTTAGTTGGGTCTAAGGGGCAGAGACCCTCTTGGAAATTTTTTTATGAAAATCCTTCGGCCGTCTAAATCTGATCCAATTTATTCTCCTACCATTTTTACTGCTGGATTATTTTTTTAAATAAATCAACCGTGTCTCCCATCGCCTAATTCCAATTTCCTGCATCTTTTACCTTAACACGGTTCAAGGACTTTGAAAGGAAAAAGAAAAGAAATTAAGATGGAAAATAGTTTTCCTTGAACGAAACATAGTGTAATGAAAATAATTGTCATTTGCATTCAATTTCTTATCAATGAAAAATTGCTATTGGTATTTATGTTGGAGTATTTTTCTGGAATTTTTTGTCTGCAGTTCGATTCTCTGATCCAGATGCTGTGCTTAATTATGGTATGTCACCATATCCCCTTTGTGTATCTTCACCTTCTATTGTGTGAAAAAAAGGTGTTTAACCTTGTCTGCTCTTTTTAGAGTTGTTTACATTGAAAACATCACATAGGTCATTTTATAGGAGTATGAATTGAGTAACAATAATCTTAAACAGCTATCATAACTTAGACAAGTCACCAACTAGGCTTTGTTTGTGTTAAATATATTCTATATTTAATGTAAATATATTGTTTCCTATTATTGTCTCCTACCTTGTATAGGATTAGGAATATATTGTTTCCTATTATTGACTCCTACCTTGTATAGGATTAGGAACCCTTGTGTATATATAGACATGTACTCCCACATATTCAATCAATGAGATTAACCTTTCTACATGGTATCAGAGCCTAAAAATCAAAAACCCTAAACCCCCTCTCTCTCTCGTTCGGCCTTCTCTCTCGCCGTCAGCGCCGACTCTCCCTACGGCAGCTCTCCTCACCGGCGACACCCTCTCCTCCTCGGCGGTCCTCTTCTTCCCCTCACCATGGCCGAAAACAGCGAGATCACTTCCCAAAATAACTCCTCCAAACCTCCTCATCTTGCTTTCACAACAATCTCAAACGTGAAATTTCATGTTCCCGTTCAACTCAGTCTCTCCCAACCTAATTACAAAAAGTGGAGCCGACTCTTCCTTCTTCTGGTTCGGCGATTCAACCTCAAGGGCTACATCGATGGTTCCGTCATCCCCCTCTCTGATGACGACGACGAATGGTTCCAACTCGACGCTCTCCTCCAGGGTTGGATCCTCTCCACCATCACTGATGAGGTCTCAGATCTGGTCATCTCCTCTGTCTCTACTGCCTCTGCTCTCTGGAAAGTCATCCACGACTTGTTCCACGACAACAAACATGCTCGAGCTATGCAATTGGAACATGAATTTCGCACGACAGTCAAGGGCAACTCCACTATGGCAGCCTATTGCCAACAACTGCAGAATCTTGCCGACTGGCTGGATGATGTTGATGCACCAGTCTCCCAACACCAACTCGTCCTTCAAATGCTTCGTGGTCTCCCTGCCGATCTCCAGGGACAAACATCATTCATGCAATTTCAGGATCCCATGCCCACGTTTCTGCAGGTTCGATC